CTCAAGCATATTTGTTCCTGCTCTCCTTCTGCCTCCCAGATTTTTCTCTCAAACCTTCATTCTTGATGTCATGGGACTGTCAGAACAATTTGCTTCTCTTCTGAAAACCTCATCATGTGAGAGTCACTACTTACTCGAGCAAGTTTTCCTCCCCTCCCTTGGGGTCTGCAGGCTTCTGTACAACAACAGCTGTCTGGGGAAGGAAAAGGGGCTGTTTGGGCTCCTCCTTGCAGCAGAGAGCATTGGGGAGCAAACCCTGTTTTTAGTCAGGCTTTAACCTGGGTTTGGTCAGGCAAAATGATTGAGATTAGGGCTACCAGCCTAGCTCTTCTCTTTGTTGCCATCAAAAGTAAGCACCAACTGTTTGGGGGCCTTGGTTTCTCTCTCCAGCTTAACTTTTGGACAGTTGACAAGGAGAAGAGTATTGGCCTTTATAGATGTGGCGTAGCGTGGCTAACACATGGAAAATTTGGATTAAGCACAGTCTGCATATGAAGCCCTCAAATTTCCCTTTTGTGCTGTTGCTCCTACTGCTGTTCATTCCTTATTTGTCCTTGACCGTGTCCTACATTCTGGCCAGAGCTTCACAATAATCTCCATAAGGAAGGGAAGGTAGGAACGAATGTACCCGTCATACAGATGGGAAAACTGAGACTTGGAGAAGTTGTGTGATTTATGTAAACCACAAAGTCATGCAAATGACCTGGAGCTGAAACTCAATGAATAATATGGATCTGATCTTTCAATTATGGGCCCTAGAGGCAGGTTCATGTTAAAAGAGAAGTGGAAGCTCAATTCCCTCCCACCTCTGGCCATGTATTAAATACTTGAGTGCCTAGTAGATGCAAGTAACTGGCAGGTGCTGGGGATACAAAGCTCTGAGAGGCCTTGCTCATAAACTAGTGGGGGACAAACGCGAGTAGACGCAGATTCAAGACAGCATGATGAGTGTTCTGACTGAGGAAGTTAGGTGCTAATGGAGCACGCTGGAGGGATGCCTAACCTGGCCTTGAGAGGTTAGGGAAGGCTTCTGTGCAATAAGTGACATCCAGGACCCAAGAGATATTAGCTCAGGAAAGAATGTTCCAGGAGGAAGGAACAGCATATGCAAAGGCCTGAAGGCAAAAGGAACTGAAAGAGTTCAGTGTGGCTGAGGCCTAAGGAAAAGAAAGCAGGCACTAGTTCACATAACAGTCCTGCAGGCCACGTTAAGGACTGAGCATTAGCCAATGGGCAAGGGGAAGTTGGTGCAGGGTTTTAAGCCTGGGAATATGGCTTAGTCAGAGCTGAGTTTTGGGAAAATCCCTCAGCAGCATGTGGAGGATGGGTGGGAGGGAGGGGTGAACTAAGGAGAACTTTTTGCTCACCCCAGGGAGCTGCTCCTTCTGTGACATCAGGAATCCCTGTTGCCAAAATTCATCCCTCCCAGTTTTTGCACTGAGGTTGCCCCATGCTGACTGCCAGCTGTGGGCCAGTGATTCTTTTATGCTTAAGCAGAGAATGAGGGTTCATAGCCAAACAGAAGAGTTTTGTTCTGCTACCCCAGTTTGAGGAATCTGTGTAGGGGGAGAATTATATGAGGTGTTGGCATTGAGGTGGCTTAATCTGACAAAGCCACTGGCAAAGGCCAGCCCCACCACACACAAGCTTGGTGGCAGACCCCTTCCTGAGCCTTACGCTCCTCAATTGAAGAACACAGATAATAAAATACCTGCCTCAGATCTTTGTGAGCATCCTCTGAGAGAATACATGTGAAGTGCTGGGTGTGTAGGAGGTGCCCAGCAAATATTTATTCCCTTCTCTTTTTTTCTGCCTTTCCTTGATGCTGCTCCACCTCGGATTAAATCCTACAACCATTACAAAGCTTAATACCGTCTGATCGATTTCCCTCTGACCCGCTCCGTCCCGTCCTCCTCCTGGCACACTCTGGTGTTCCAACACTGGCCTCCTTGATGTTTCTTGAACACGCCAGACACACTTCCACCTCAGGACCCTCCAATATCTGTGTGGCTTGTTTCCTCATCTCTGTCAGGCTTTCATTCAAATGTCATCTTCTTAATGAGACCTACCCTAACCACTCTCTTTAAAACTCCAACTGCCCCAGCCTTATTCCCTTCCCTTCCCTGCTTTGTTTTCCTCTATGGCTCTTATCAACTTCCAGAAAGTTACGTAATTTATTTCATTTTTAAAAAATTATTATTTAGTTTTATCATTGTCTCCTCAAACTAGCATGTAAGCTCCACAAAGACAGGAAGTTTTTTTTCTGTCTTATTTATTGCCACATCACCAGTGCTTAGACCAGTGCCAGACACGTAACAGGCTCTCAGTAAATGTTTGTTGAATGAGTGAATGAAATGTTCAATTAGCTATCATGATAGATAACATCCAGAATATTGGGGGTTGGGGGAGCACCTGGTGATGAAGAGTCTTGATTGCCATCTGAGGGCCCTCCTGCAATCTGATTGGAGAGTGACTCCTGGCTACCCAATTAGGAGTCAAGGATTCCAGAATGAAGTATTGTCTTAATATGTATTTGAGTGGTCACTGTGGGCAGTAAGCAAAGGCCTACAGGAAGATAAGACAAAGGTGGTCAGAGTACCTGTCCCTAAGTCCATGCTTCATGGGGGAGATCAGAAAGAAACACAATGCAAAAGAGGAAAGGAGAATATGTAACCAAGTACACTCTCATTCAGCTGGATGGAACACAAGTATGAACTGCTTTGTCTTTAAAATGAGGACATTGCTCTTTGGCTCACTAGCAGCCTACTTCTAGGAAAAACTTTTAACCCTTGGAAACTCTTACACAGAAGCACTGATTAGCTTGTAGTTCTACTTGAAGGTGTGGAAACCAGCATTTCCCCCTTTAGCAACCCTGCCAGTTTCCACTGCTGGACAGCTGAAGTTGTTTTTCTCTTTTGTTCTCTTCCTGTCCCCTGCTCATTGAACTTAAAAACAATCTCCCATTGAACCATATGGCAGTGTAATGCCTCATCAGGGACATGGTTCCCAGAATGTGGCCTGAATCCATTTCCTTGCCAGCCTTTGAGATCTAAGGCGGTTACTACACATGAAAGAAAGCTACTGTATGAGGAAGAATTGGGATAGTCGTCCCCTGGTGAAGTTACATATTTGGATTAGGTTCATTCATCATTTACTCATTCACTTATTTGTCCACATTCAGAGACTCACAGTCAGAAGAGACTGAAGGAAGACAAATAATTATAGCAGGTGGTGTAGATATGGAGGAGAACATTTTTGTGTTAGTCAAGTTCTGGCTACAAAAGTCTTGTGTAACAACCCCAAACTTCTGTGGCTTCCAACAAGACATATTTATTTCTTCCTTCCATCTCTAAGGTCAGCTGGGGTGGTCCTGCTTCGGGTGCGTCAGGTTCTGGTCTAGCCTTGTATCTCTCTTTCTGGGACCCAGACTGAAGAAGTAATGGCTGCATGGGGCAAGCTCTTCTTGTGGCACATGGCAGGAGTATTCAAGAAGCCAAGCCAGACCACACAGGCACATATACAGCCTGTGCTTGCATCACATTTGTAAATTTCATTGACACCTTGATTTCGTTGTCATAGACCAAGCCCAACATCAGGAAGGTGGGGATGAACACTCTGCCTCCTCTAGTGGCGCAAGGCTGTATAGTTCTGTTTCAGGGAGGGAGTGAAGAGTTAGGAACAATAAGCAAATCTACTACAGCATTTAACTCTGGCTGTGGAAATTAGGGAAGGCTTCCTGGAGGTGGTAACTTTCATCTTGAAGAATGAATAGTTTTCAAGATGAGCAAGCAGGCAGTAACATACGCAAGTGCATACAATAGAAAAAGAGAAAAGGGGCCAGCCTGGTGGCATAGTGGTTAAGTTTGTGTGCTCTGCTTCAGTGGCCCAGGGTTTGCTGGTTTGGATCCCGGGTATGGACCTACACACTGCTCATCAAGGCATGCTGTGGCGGCAACCCACATACAAAATAGAGGAAGACTGGCACAGATGTTAGCTCAGTGACAGTTTTCCTCAAGCAAAAGGAGAAAGATGGGCAACAAATGTTAGCTCAGAGCCAATCTTCCTCATCAAAAAAAAAAATAAGAAGAAGAATGAAGTATTGTATTAATATTTATTTGAGTAGTCACTGTGGGTAATATGCAAAGAGCTGCAGGAAGATAAAGGTCATCAGAGTCCATACTTTCTGAGAGAGATGAGAAAGAAACATAATACAAAAGAGGAAAGGAAAATATATGACCAAGTACACTCTTAATGGATCAGACAAAAATGTGAACTCAGAAGGGAAGTTAGAATATATTTTTAGTAGCTATGTTTGGTACAGGATGCAAGATATGTGCTGCTTTATATTCATTATTCCACTTAATCCTTACTACTTGGGAGGGACGTCCTAATGTCAAGTAACTGCAAATGAGAAAACTGAGCTTCAGAGCGGGAGGTAACTTGCCTCATGGTTCATAGCTAGCAAGTGGCGGAGGGAGAACTTCCCAGGAGTTCTGTTTTGCTAAAACGAAGAATTCATTCATAAAAATTACTCACTAGTGTACTGACTCTATTTTATTCCTAAGTGGGGCTGCTTTAAAAGGTACTAAAAACCTGGATTTTAGTGTCTACTGTATATGCAGCACTGCTCTTGTTAAAGGACCCTGCTCCTGGAATAGATAATCTCTCAAGTCCCATCTAGCTGTGGCATTCTTCAGGTGTCACCTCTTGTCATTGCACATGGATTTAAGATGTCTCAAAGAAAATAGGATTCTTGCCCGTGGTCCAACGTGAAAGTGCTCCCTTTGGATGGTGGGGTGTCTTGAAATTCTGCCACTTCCTTTCCGCCAGTTTATATACACACACTAGTGTGTGCTTTTTCTCTTCAGAAATGAAGAGAGACAAGCTTGGTGAGTTTCTCCAGGACCAGCAAAGGTTAGAGATGGGACTGGGTGAAGAATAACAATTCCTACTATTGTGCAGCCTGCCTCTACCTAATATTAGCTCTCTTGTCATTACAGAGCACAGATATACTCCAGTGGAACATTCCTACTCATGGAGAAGTGAGCATTTGTGAATTTTTATTCCTAGTTTCTTACCCAAAATCACTTGACAACTGAAATCACATCTCCCTGGTCTTACTGACCATTAGCTTGACTTTTTAGCCTAGCATCCCATGAGTTTGCAGAGAGCAAACCAGCAACCATCCCTTTCCTCAGTGGATTGTTAAACATTGACAGGTGTTTTTCTGTGCTCTCCATCTTGGCAGTCTGGAATTGAGTTGAAGCATATTTCATGACCCATTTGCCATTTGCTCAGGAAGCTGGCAGAACTGGTTTCCCTGACTTCAGAGACCATCTCACATGGTCATTTTTTTCCCCAGTACATTTTAAATCTTGTAGTAATGAGCAATGCTATAGAAACTGGCTCTCACCGTCTGTGTTTACTGTCTCATGATTCCCCAGGTAGGTGATGCTCAGATACTGCTGCCTCTCGTCAAGTTGATGGCAAGGACGGAAGGAGAATAAACTGTGTCTAAGACTGGTCCAGAGAAGGAGTGTGAGTCGGAATGACACTGTAGGAACAAGTGATCTGTTTGGCAAGGAATGCAGCATGCTTCTGGAAGTCTCCTCTCCACATCATCCCACAGACCACTACTTCTTCACAGGAAAGGGTGCTTAGGATTTTGCAATCAGCCACCTAAAACTTTTGCTGCACCAACGTAAGACTTTTGCTGCAGAACAGAACAAGATATTACTTCATTTTGTTTTTGCATCTTTTAACCATCAGGCTACAGTCATAGTTGTTTCGCTTTGAGAATTTTAAGCCAGACTTGTTGCTATTTTTTTGTGTAACCTTTTCAAAATGATCGACTTAAGCTTCCTGACTGAGGAGGAGCAAGAGGCCATCATGAAGGTTCTGCAGCGAGATGCTGCCCTGAAGAGGGTTGAAGAAGAGAGAGTCAGGTAAGGAGCTGGGGAGGTCCTTGCGCATGGGGGAAGCAGAGGCAGTCTGTAAGAAGATGAAACACTTTTTTTTTCTCGGCCATAAGTGGTAGTTCTGACTCAGAGCCTGAACTTATGGGTTCCAATTTTAGGTTTACTTCCTGGATGGAACTTTTTCCTCTTTGGTGCCTCTTAATTTATCCCATAGGACTCCTGCCAGAAATAGAGTCTTGATTAAAAACCTAAGTAAACTCTTTTAATTTATAGACACTGAATTAAAAAAAATGAAATGTATGAATGCATATCTACATCTATATATATATGGATGTGTGTATATTTGTATCTACTTTTTTTTTACTGAATCCTCTATTTTTTACTGAATCATGAACTAAATTAGAAATTTTTTAAAGAAGATAAATTGAGAAGTTGCTCACAGTTTTGCATACTTTCAGAAATGTTTGAGTTGGTTTTAACAACACTTGAAATTGGCTCTGACTGAGACAGTTTTTCATTTGTCTCTCGCAAGAAGGAGTGGCAGCTTTGACACACTGTCCTTGTTGGGAGGAACCCAGATGTCCCACATCAACGTTCCTACCACTTTCTACTCACTAGGGTAGAAGGAGCATGAGACCAGGTGGCTGAAAAGTTGGGCTTGAGTCCAGGCCCTGCCATCTATTGCCTATGTAATCTTGGGCTTTGAAGACAGTGAAAGGCTTCCAGAATGTGAGGTAGTAGTATTAATTGCATGATCCCCATCCCAGGAGTTATCCAAAAGGAACATAAGCCATGTTCTTGTTTCCTGGGACAAGGTTGATGAATAATGGATTTATTTGCACCGTTTCCCATATTTTGACCCTAACTGAACATGGATGCTTTATAAAAGAACATGCTGAAATTCACTTAAAGCCCTCCAGAGTATCCATTTGTGGCTACTAATACTAACTCATTTATAGACAGTGCTTAACAAATTAACAAATCATTAACAAATGACAGTGATTAACAAATTGCAAAGGGCATTCTTCTGAGCTCACAACACTCTTGGGCAGTTAGTGGGGCTGGGTGGGATACAATTACACGCACTTGATGTGTGAGGAAGTTGACCTTGAGACAGGTCAGGTGACTTGCTCAAGCTGATACAACGCATAGGTGTCAGAAGTGAGAACCAAATCCTGTTCTTCAGGTACTCATTCACTAACTCCAGCTCCTCTCCCTGAGAAAACAATGGCAGACAGCCCATCCTGGGACCTGGCCGTGGAGAATGGGGTGGCTGTCTTGGTGTGAGGTAGGACACTGAGCTGTGATGGTGTCAGGAGGTGCCTGTTGGTAGTGGGGATCATGAGAATGGGGTTCCTTACTTGTCAGACTCCCCCCTACAAGTCACTCTCAGTGCTCCAGGCACCTGGATAGGGCTCTGCTCCCCATTCTCGGCAAGTGGGGTACCTTGAGCAGTTTCCCCAGGACAGGCAAGAATTTACACTAATCCACGCTCAGAGCCTCTTGGTAGCATTAATCCTTTACCCATTCAGTTTATAAGGCCCTTTCATGAATGTTATCCTCTTATGTTCCTAACAACAACCCTGAGATTTGGCGAGGCAAGGATCATTATACCCATTTTAGAAATAAGTGGAGGGCCAGCACAGAGAAAATATTGGTTGATTCTTAAAGCATAGTGGGAGTTTCTTTATCCTCCCAGTAGACAAGATGGAGAGAAAGCAGTGGAGCGGGGAGGGCACTGGGTTCCTCTTCCCACCTCGGTAAATGGGGACTGTGAATATGGGATTGCCGCGAGCACCTTCGATTCCTGCCGCTAACGAGGTGTTATTGTGTTCTGCAATTCTCCCTCCTCTCTCTAGCCAGGTTATGAAGAGAGATTCATCCTCCCTCCCTTTTATATTTTCTTGGCCCTTAGGAGTCCAGGCTGCTGAGTCTTCCAAGGAGTTCTGTGTTTCTGTGTGAATAGAGTGGAGGTATTTCTCGGACACCTGCAGTAGTTGATGAAAATATCCTCAAAAATGCAAAGTTCTGCCTGGAACTGGGCCTTGTAAGGGGTGTGAGTGTGTAGCCTCTGGCATCATCAGTCTACAGCTGCAGCAGGAATACTCTGAGTCCCTTTGTAGTGGTGGGTCTGCAGACTCTCCTTCCATATGCTGTTTCTGAGGGTGCCCCAGCAGCTGCCACTACCCGTGTTTTTCTCTTGTGTAAACTGATAGGAAGAAGGCTTGGGGTGGTGAAAAACCTGGTGTGAGTCCAGCCCTGTCTGCTACCACCATTCTGGGGGACTTTCTACTTAAGCACCAAGTACCTCACATCTACTTGGCCATGGGCAGGTCCAGGACACAGGGGCTGGGGAGGAGTGACAGTGTGCAGGGAGGCCGGGCGGAGAGCTGTGAGGCCTATAGCCTGTGGACACTGCAAGAGGTACAACCATGGCCTGCTCCACACAAGAGGAGTGCTGACCCCCTCTTTGCTTTTGGACTAAAGGGACTTGTGGGGATGGTTCTGAAGTTGTTCTGCTCTTGGACTGGTGGAACTAGAATTGGGTTTCTGGTCTCTGAAAATGCTATTCTGTGCACTTTTGCTTTCCAGCGCCATCACCATCCCCCAGGTGTTTGTCTTTGGCTCTTCCATTAGAGTTATAGCCTGACAGCTCTGGAAAGGAAATTTTTTGGTCCACACCAGTCCCTTTATAGATAAAGAAGGTAAAGCCCAGAGAGAGAGGAAGTGTCTTGCCAGGGTCACACAGCTAGTCAGTGCCAAAGCTATGATAAGAAACACTATTGATCCTGTACTTTTCCCTCTGCCCCAACCTATTCATTGTTCTTATTCTTTCATAAGAACAGTAAGGGTTCTATGATGTCACAGGGAAAGAATTTCCCTGCACGGACCTTGGAGTCAAAAGTGACATGAGTTTGAATCCTATTCTCACCACTGATCAGCTGTGGTTCATTGGGCAAGTTACTTATCCTCTCTGAGCCTCAGCTCAGAGACTGGCCGTGATCATCGTACCAAACCCAGAGGACTGAATAAGGATTAAGTAAGATAATTCTTAATCTTCCTAGCTCGTAACAGATAATGAATATGTTTTAATTCCCTTATTCACCACACCACCTATGCCTCTAAAAGAGGACAGAAATCTCTTGTTAGTAGTCTCATTCCTTAGGAGGGAATTATTCCTACAACTCTTCATTATTTAATGCAGTGAAATTTAATTGAGCACCTATTAAGTGTGGGTAACTGCTTGGGACAATGATATGAAGGGAATCCTAGGGAGATTGAAACATAATCCCAGCCCTCAAGGAATTTACCATGTAATGGCTTTTATTCCATTTGCTGGATTATCAATTGCAAATTTAAAATCTCAACTTTGTTTCTCCAAAATGATTTTACAAGCCCAGTCCTCCTTCTAGTTGCTATGTGGCTTTAGAAACATAAATTATATAATTATAATACTAGCCTAAACAGAATATCATTAGAAAAGTAAACCTGCCAGTAAAATTCAGACTGTCCTTTCAAATGCTAATTCATCATGGCCTTTGGAATATAAGCCTCCTGTAGCCATGAGGACATCACTTAATAGATGATAGCACTGTTGCCCACTAAGACCAGACACTGCCTCAGAATCCTTTTCAGTATGGCTGTAGATGAGATTTGGCATTCAAATTGAAATCTGTTTGCCATTCCTGATATAGCCAGTGCTTTGAATTGTTCACATCCAAGTTCATTTGAGACACTTTGGAGATGATTTAGTCTATATGTCACCTCCTATCCTGATTTCATGGATGAGAAAAATGCATGTCATGTAGGGGAAGTATCCAGTTCCCAAATCACTCAACCTGTTGATAGTAGACCATGGATTTGAACCCAAGGGAATACCCGCTGTGGTGTGTGTGGGGTACAGTTAGAAGATAGTTCCCGGTTACTGTTGCCACCATAGCCGTCTTTCGTGCTGCCTCTCTACCTGTAGCCACAAGTGCTGGGCCCAGTTATTATCACGCATCTCTACCCAGCTTGCTTGCCTAACTACCAGCTGGAGACATTTCCCAAAGCAGCAGTGAAGCAGACGTCAGGATAGATTATTATTTCTCTCTCACCCCCTGCCCCCTCTCCCCCTCCTTTTTTTTTTAATAAACACTGCTGTACATACACATATATGATTTCAATCTTTTATGGTTTGAAAATGACACACTCTAGAGGTGGTGTTTCTTGTGCTTTGCATCACACTGCCAGCAGGAAATCGTTGCCCATGTGCATCTGTGCACCACTAGCACCACGCCCCCGCCCCATACACACACAACCACATCTACAGTGGTGGGCGTTCTTGCAGTAGATACCATCTCAACCACGACCACATCTTATGATTCTCAGCTGCTTCTTTAAGACCCAGTTTCCTTTAGATGAAAGCAGTCGTCACTGAAGAACTGCTTTCCAGGACCTCTGGTGCTGTTTTCTGTCAAAGCAAGGGGGAAAGGAACCAGCATTTGTCAAGGAACTACATTGTACACAGAGCTTCACATACCTTTTCCCCTATCATCTGCATAACAGTGTATCTGAACCCACTCAACAATGAGGAAATAAGGTGGAAGAGGTAAAGTGCCCTGCAAGATTGAAGCCTTGCTTGTCAAACTACAAAGGCTGTCCTTCCCACACACTGTGCTGCCTCTCAGCAGAGTGTGGTAATCTATGGTGCATCCACGACACAAGGGACACACGTTTCCTCTCGTTTCCCACTGTGAAGGACATGTGCAGTTCATTTCATTTTCACATGTATTGGTTTTCAGATTCTCTATCGAAGGTTGAATTTTTTCATGCGAAGAGTGAATGTGATAGCCATCTTAGAAACCAAAATCATGTTTGGCTCTCTGAGGCAGGATGGGGTAATGGAAAGAGCATTGTCCAAGAGCCAGTCTGGTGTCCTGTCCCAGCTCTGTGTGACCTTGGGCAAACCTCTTAACTTGTCTGGGCCTCAAGTGAGGCCATTAAACTATCTAAGGTCCCTTCCACCTCTCACATTCAAAACAAACATCTAAGAGTACTTTCAAATCACATATCTAACCATCTTGCCCAGAATATACAAGGGGTTAAAAAAAAAAAAAAAAAAAGCTGAGGAATGGACCAATCAGCCTCTCTGGCCAGGCTTCTGATTCTTATCATCCACAGTTGACTAGATATTATCAACCAAGTCCCACCTATAATGTTAGGCTTTTGCCTCATCATGATGCAGAGCTAGAAGCTGGGGTGTGCTCTGTAAGTACAAGGAGGAAAAGGGCATAGGCTGAGTGTTGAAGCCAGGCTGGAGATCCTCACTGTTCTTCTGGCTTTCCTCCTCATGTGCTCACACTCTGTACCACAGGAGTTGACATTGGCAGTTAGGGCTAAAGACTGAACTTTTTATTCACAATTCCAAGCATCTTCCTGGCATATGATAGGAGATTAATAAATTAGTGAATGAAAAAATGAACAAATACGGCCTTTAACATACAGAGGAGGCAAGATGGCCATCTTTTGCAGTTGACTAAATTCTTTGTACATCTCGATGAAATTGTAAGGATTAAATGAGATGATGCATGTTAAGTGCCAAGCTTGTAGCCCAGTGCAAAATGCATGCTTTGTATGTATTAGCTGAAGCAATGGGGGTACGACTGGCATGTTCTGCCTGGAGGGCCAGCAGGACAGGGTCTTCTCTGGGCTCAGTACTCTTCTGCCTTTAATTCTGCCCACCAGCCATGGGTGTTTATTGAACTTCTTCTCTATCCTCAGCTTCCTACTAAGCACAACATGCATATGCCAAGAGGATGGTAAGGGCTAGAAACTGTGAGTCCCAAGAAACTTACCTTTTCCCACTTCATCTAAGTGGTACAATGATTAGAAGAACAAATGCTAATTTGCTTAGTACATTAAAGTTCAGGAAAAATAAGAGGTCGGTGTGGGCTGGTAGAAAGTGAAGACTTTTATTTTAAAGATTGGCACCTGAGCTAACATCTGTTGCCAATCTTTTTTTGTTTTTTTTCTTCTCCCCAAAGCCCCGTCATACATAGTTTTATATTCTAGTTGTGGGTCCTTCCAGTTGTGGCATGTGGGACACCGCCTCAGCATGGCCCGATGAGCGGTGCCATGTCCGTGCCCACGATTCGAACCAGCGAAACCCTGGGCCGCCAAAGCAGAGCACACAAACTTAACCACTCAGCCATGGGGCCAGCCCCTGAAGGAGAAGATTTTTAACAGTACCACCTAGATGGTGGTATTTTTATATGATCTACATCTTTATAAAACTTGGCTTTGATGTCACACATATGGATTTGTCTATCAAATATTCCAAACGACTAAGATAGAAGAAGAAATTGACTAAACCGAGCAGTGATTATCATGTTAGGAAATACATAAATAGAACTTACTGAATTTGAAAGAATTTCCTATTCTTTTGCCACTTTAAAAGAAATGAGCTAGAAACTCAACCTCAGTTCCTTACTGTAATGGCTAGCCCTTTCCAGGGGCCGTGAGTTTCAGTGAGCCTGACTCACACAGCGTGTGCTCATGTGCACCGAGAGCTTAGCATGATCAGAGTCTTGCAGTCATTTAGGCAGGAGCAGGTCAGGTGTTGCACACCTACAAAGCGCCTTCCAGTTGAACAACAAAAATAAGTAAATAATCTCATGAAGAAAAGTTGAGAGCTGTTATGCTACGAGGGTTTGTGATCTCTTTCAACAAGTTGATGACTGATGCCATATTCATCATGTTTTTTCCTATTCTGCCAAGAGTTGAGATGTCCTGCCTCATCAGGAGAAGGCACAGCCATTGCGATGGATGGTTCCTTGACCCAGTAGTGACAAGATCTCTTATATCTCTTGCCTGACTCAGACTGGGGTGGCTGCTGAGCATTTATTTATTCATTGATTTATTCACTCAACAAACAGTTTCTGGCTATCAGGTCTGTGCCAGGCTCTGTGCTAGGTGCTGGCATTATAAAGGTGATTAATATATAGTCCTCACCTTCAAGGAATTTGCAGAGTTCACAGATTAGTGGGTGAGACAGATGTGCAAATGGAATCATTGGAACTTGGTGTGGTAAGTGCTCTTGTGGAGGTGCTGTGGGAGCAGAGAGAAGGGCAAGCTGAACTGTGTCCTTGGGCATTAACGAAGGTTTTCCCGGCAAGGAGTTGCGTGAACTGGATCTGAAGGATGAGGAGAAATGTGCTGGATAGAGAAGTGAGGGAAAGACATCCCTAGACATTTCACATTTATTGACCTCTTAGCAAGATCCAGGCACTGCTAGGTACTTTCGGGTAAGTACCTCATTTAATCATCCCGGAAGTCCTGCAGACTAGATCTTGTTTTCCCCTATCTTTACAAACAAGGAGACCAAAGCTTAGAGGGGTTCAGTAACCTGCCCCAGGTTATATCTAGGAAGGATGAGAACTGGGATTTGGGCCTAATTTTGGGAGATTCCAAGGCCCATAGTCTTTCTGCCACACCTGCCTGCCTCTAACGTGTACAGAGGTCATGAGAAGGCAGTTTGGAGACCAGTGAGAAATATTGTGTGCTGGCAAGTGGGAGCAGGGGAGTAAGTGCTGGAACATGAATCTGAAAATGTGGCCTGAAGCCACATGGTCAGGGACCTTACATGATATTCCTTCTCTCCACAAGCGCTGAATAAATACCTACTGTTTCCCAGACTCCAAGCCAAGATGTATGAGTACAGGCCCTGCCCCTAGGGGTTCACTCTCTAAACAGAAAGAGAAAACCTAGGCAATGGGAAACTGTTAGAAATGTTTATTAAGAACCATGATCTCTCTGGTGATTCAGAACCATGAAGTGATGACACTGTCCCTGTCAGGATTGGGTGATGGGCTGTCGTGACAATGTGTGTCTGAGGGTTGTGGTTGGACATGTTTGGGATAGGGTCACTTCTTCCCAGGTAACTGAGAGAGGGGAGGAAGTTGCAGCAGAGAGTAGGACTCTAGGTGGAAGGACACTCTCCAGGCACAGGTGGGAGAGAGGAACTGCTGGAACCCTGGTATCTGCCCTCTTGTTCGCCCCACTCCCAGGTATGCCTGCGTGTAACTCACACACAGCCATCGGTGTGGCTACCACCCACGTTCTCTGGCTAAAACACTTACATTTGCTACTTTAGGAAGTGTGCATATTAGCTTGAGTGACAATCATAAAACCCTCTTGGATTTACGTAGCACATTATCTTCCAAGAGTTTAAAGTCTCTTTAAGGCTTTTGTTCCGTTTTATTCTAAGTACATCTCTATGAATAAGAAAAGATAGATTTTGTGATTCTCATTTTATTGAGATGGATAGAGGATGCAGAGGTTAAAAAACTTGTGAAGTAGAAGAATGTCTTTCCAGCCAGTGTGAATTGGGAAGGTTTTAGGAGGACAGTACTTGGTTTGTTCTTTAGATTTTAGCGGTTTCACTGGAGCATGAATGATTGTGCAACCCTTAAAAGCAGTATCTGCACAAATGGAATTTGCCTCTGCCTTTGCTTTTACTCCCTCCACCCATAAATTTGATCTGCCCTGATTCCAGCCTGCCTTTTCAGTTTTCATTTCCCTAACATTAAGAGCCAGGGATATCATGTACCCTCCCCTCCAGACTTCCAGAAAAGTCTCTGATAAACTGATTTCACTGAATGGAAAGGACTGGTGAGCTGACACTCACCCCACCAGTTATTCAGTGAGTTTTTAGTAGCTACCGGGCATGTTTGGAGGCTGGTTTACATGCATTAGCTAATTTAACCCTCATAATAACCCCATGGGGTGGGTTGCTGTTATTAACCCCTCTTTGCAGATAAGGAAACAAAGCTTGGGGAAGCTTAATATGTCATCTTTCACTGGGGCCTTTGCATTTGAACAGTAGACACAGAAGACTGTGACCAAAAAGTGAATCTGGGGGCTGGCCCAGTGGTATAGTGGTTAAGTTTGCATGCTCTGCTTCAGTGGTCCTGGGTTTCCCAGTTCAGATCCTGGGCATGGACCTACACACTGCTCATCAAGCCATGCTCTGGTGGCATCCCACATAGAAGAACTAGAAGGACTTACAGCTAGGATATACAACTATGTACTGGGGCTATGGGGAGAAAAAAAAAGAGGAAAATTGGCAACAGATGTTAGCTCAGAACCAATCTTCCTCATCAAAAAAAAAAGGTACCTCACCATTGGGAAAAAAAAGTGAATTTGCCCTTGAGAAATTATAGGAATCATCTAAGGATCATAGATTACATCTTCAAATTTTTTTTTAATTTTTAAAATTTATTTTTTATTGTGGTCATAATAGTTTGTAACATTGTAAAATTCCAGTTGTGCATTATTTGTCAGACACAGTATAAATGTGCCCCTTCACCCCTTGTGTCCACCCCTTATTTGTTTATGTTCCACAAATAAGTGAAATCATATGGCATTTGTCTTTCTCTGTCTTGCTTATTTCACTTAACATAATACCCTTATGGTCCATCCATGTGGTTGTGAATGGGATGATTTTGTCTTTTCTTATGGCTGAGTAGTATTCCATTGTATATATATACCACATCTTTTTTATCCAAACATCAGGTGATGGGCACTTGGGTTGCTTCTACATCTTGGCTAGTGTGAATAATGCTACAATGAACATAGGAGTGCTTAAGCCTCTTTGTATTGTTGATGTCATGTTCTTTGGATAAATATCCAGTAGTGGGATAGCTGGATCATATGGTATTTCTATTTTTAATTTTTTGAGAAATTTCCATACTGTTTTCCATAATGGCTGCACCAGTTTGCATTCCCACCAGCAGTGTATGAGGGTCCCTTTTTCTCCACAACCTCTCCAACATTTGTTATTTTTTGTCTTGGTTATTATAGCCATTCTAATGGGCATAAGTTGATATCTAAGTGTAGTTTTGATTTGCATTTCCCTGATGGTTAGTGCACATCTTTGAATTTATAAATAAATGTTGGCTTTGATTTCTCTGACTTTTATGTCAAAGGAGAACATACATTTGTTAGTCATCGGGGAGGTTTGTGGGATCTTCTAAGATATTCAGAGCTTCATTTTGGATGTATATTTAGAAGTTTCTTTATGCAGTGTCACAGTGAACTCATTTATTTACTGTGAGTTCTCAGCAAAGTAAAGCTCTTTTCCTTTTGTAGACATTTGCCTGAAAAAATTAAGGATGACCAACAACTGAAGAATATGAGTGGCCAATGGTTTTATGAAGCCAAGGCAAAAAGGCACAGAGACAAAATCCATGGCACAGATATCATCAGAGCATCCATGAGAAAGAAGAGGCTTCAGGTAGCAGGTGAGTTGATTTGGCTAGTACCTGTAGAGCCAACATTTGTTTGGGAAGGAGGAGTCAGGAGAAGAGAAGAGTGTCAGAGTCCTTACTGAATTCTGCTGAGGGAAATCATTTAGAGGTATACTTTGCATAGTGTGTAGCCCTCTAGCTCAAAATTTTCTTGCCCTGGATTTAGATGGATGAGGTTAAGGCTAAGCGACTCAGTGTGGTGTAGAAGGACAAAGGAAGCACTTTAGATGCCATGTTGAGTTGTAGTAGCATAGACAGACAGTAACATAGACACCTCTCCTTTCTTTAGCTTTTAACTCTGAAGCTTCAGAACCTTGTGTCCTGAATAGAGTGAAGAGCTTAGACGGAAAGAGATTAGCCTCTCTGTTCCATGACGTTGACATCTGGTACTTATTTAATCAACCAACTACATCATTTAAGAGGCTGTAGAGATGGTATTTTGAGGGCTTCTTTAGAATTCTGTTGAGTTCGTTAAATGTTTACCAGGTGCCTTCTCTCTAGTTAACTCTGGACTAGCCAGTGTAAACCTTTACCCCCGAGAACCTGTCGAGATTTGGCCTGTACTCGATACGGAAAATAGCTGTCACCTTTTGAGCATCTGTTATATGATAGTCATTTACTTTGTATTATTTCTAATTGTAACAGCAATCTTGTAAGGGAGCTAATATTATCCCCATTCTATATAAGGGGTATGTAAAGTTCAGAGAAGTGATAAGGTTATGTAGTTGGCAAATGGCAGAGCTAGGATTTCAGTCTTTCTGACTCCTTGCAGATAAGGGCTGACCCCTTAGTATGTGCTACACATTGCTTGCAGCCCTCTTGATTGTCAAAACCACCCAGACATTCAGAAATCTTGAGGAGTATAGGTTAGTATTGTGGACTCCATTTTGTAGCTGAGAAAACTAGACTTCTATGTAATGAGACTTGTGGGGAATACCCCCCTGGAATGTAAGTCTTTGCAAATTGAAAGCCCTAATATTGCTTCATTTTCTTAACACTGATAAAAGTGTTTCTGGCATTTACTGACTATGTGGCCTTAGGCAAGTTTCTTGAACTGTTTGATCCTCAATTTCCAAATCTGTAACTTGGAAAATAGCTCACTCCTTATAGGATAATGCATGCAAAGAACATGGCACTGTGCTTGGCACTTAGTCATCTCTCTGTTGAGGCTAATTATCTGAGGTAAAGGGCCCTGGGTGTTCAGAGGCAAAAGAGGTTATTTCCTGAAGAGGAGCACAGAGGTTTTATGTAGGCTCTGGTATCTAAGCCGAGTACTGAAGAATATCTAGAATTTGGATATGTAGAGACTTGGGAGAGGAAGAGGCAGTGAAGAGGGGCATTCCAGACTAGAAATATTTGTTCCCCTTTGAATCCCAGAGCCCAGACTTGAATTGGACACATTGTAGATATTCAGTAAATGCTTGGTAATGATGATGCTTTTGTCCCAATGAGGACTCTCTGCTCTAAACATCCCTTGGGCATACACATTCGGTCCTGACCCCAATTCAGGTCAGATTCATCTAGAGGCAGTCAGAATTTTGCTTCAGTTGTCTTTGGAATTATCCGCACATTTAAAGGTACATCCATGCTCTCAGGGGACTCTGCTTGGGGGGAGCTAACATCGTGGGAATCTATTGACTTCTCTTGCAGATAAATTTCTGATCCCAAGTACTCAGACTCATTAGTGATTGCCTTGGCACTCAGAGAAGGCCTGAAGTTCAAGTTCGAGCCTTCGGTGATAAGAGCCGATATGAGAGTTGTAGGTCCCAGAGATGAGAGATAACCTTCCTGTCTTTATTGTTTCCTGTTTCAGCTGAGCAGAGTAAGGACAGAGGAAACAGGGCAAAGGAAAGCTGGGTGAATAATGTCAACAAAGATGCTTTCCTTCCCCCAGAGCTGGCCGGTGTTGTAGAAGAGCCAGAAGAAGATGTAGCACCAGCAAGCCCAAGGTAAGACAGAGCCCCTGGGAAGAGCTGCTGCATGTAGGATTCATAGCAAAATGGTGGGCTAGGAGTGCAAATGCCAGATTGGTCTCATGGGCATGTATGAGAGAATTCTGGGCCCTGATGTGGACAAAGCTTGAGTAGTACTCTTTCCCAGCTTCCAGAAGTTCTAGCAAATCTGAATGTTAAATAAAATTAAAATGTTGAGTGGTGATTTCTTCCAACATTAACCATAGCTATTTTTCATTTGTACTAAGGATTTCTCCTTAGAGTAGAATGAAGAGGTGCTCAAAAATGAATACGGAAATAGGCCATTTCAGGGAAGAGATGAATTATGATCAAATTGTAACAGCCTGGTGCAATGGAAGAAGCTTAAGCATGGGAACCATACAGATAAGCATTCAAATCCTGAATATGCCAGTTATTAGCCGTTTGATCGTGGGCAAGTCATTTAACCTTCTCAGAGTTTCTTTTCTTAACTACAGATAGGAATGATAATGTATACCAAGAAAGGAGATGGTGAGAATTAGTGGTAATGTGTGGAGAATACCTGGCACATTGTAGGTACTCAATAAATGCCTCTCAAGGATGCAGATTGTCCTCAGTATTTTAGCCTTGATTTTTGGGTGTTTTCCATACATGTTATCATTTGGCCAATCAAAATGTATTTTTGTACATCCTTCCTGTGAAGTAGCTGATTGTGAGGCTACATTGCCACAAACCTTTTGAGCCATGCCGATTTGCTTTTAGATATTTAAGGATCTTATTGGTGTCTGTCCCTTGGAGGTATAGTTGTTACCCTTTGCTAGGAGCACAGTTGCATTTTATCTCTAGCTCCTCAGTGAAGACAGTTCAGTTTAGAGTCTCCAACTGAGATGAAGTCAATGAATTCCCTGGTGAGACAGCCACTGAGTCAGGGTCCAAGTCTGAGGCACCTGGGGAACAGGTATGTTTCCAACATAGTTTACGCATGATGGAGAGGGTCTGTAATATAGGCACCAACAGGCGTTTCAGAGTCAAATATGAGCAAAGTTGTATCACATGGATAATGGGATACTGATTCTATTCAGGTACCCATTACTTATCCATTTTCCTGTTGGAGAGGGCCCACTTTATTTTCCATGGGTGGTAGGCTGTATTCTTTTCTCTCTGGATGGTTTGTAATATTCTCTTATGTCTGTAGAGGCCATGTTGGCTAGGGGTTAAAACAGCTTAACAGTAGCCAAGAAGTGATACCATGACCTTGCACTAGAAGTGACTTAACATCTTGGGCCTTTGTTTCCTCAGCTGTAAAATGGGAATGATTATAGTTTGCTAGCAAAAGTATTGAGAATTTAATTAACTAGTAAATGTAGAATTCCTAACACAAAGTCCATAGCACATAGTAGATACTCAATGAATGGAAGCCTGGGCTCTCACATACACACAGATATTTTAGGAAGCTCAGGAAAGGGTGTAAGGAACACCCTAGCTTTTCCCCTCCGTGACTTCCCATTTACCAGCTGCCTGCCACCCCCCTAATGGGATGAAGGCCGGCCTTCCTTCCATAGGGAAAGATGAGATCTTAAATATTAGAAACTCTGGGAGTGAAAACACAGTCATTTAGATTCACCACCAAGGAGCTGAGAGCAGGTCCTAAGAGCTGGGTTGATGGGGGGTGGGGATGCCAGAGCACTGACTGACTGAGGGAAGAGGGTGCAAGTGCCACAGAAGGGGAAAGAAGATGACTTGGGGGTATCAGAGATGAATTTAGCTCACTGCACAGTTTTTTCTGGGTCAGACTTTCTGGCCTTCTTCCAGGAACTCGTTTCATCTCAAAAAGCCTGAGGCACAGAGGTGCCACTGTCCTCGTAGTCTGACTCATTTTCCTCATGACCCCATGCAGGCTGGTGGGTATTTCTCTGCTTTTCCTCAATTGGAGACTATTAATATAGCTTCCACAAGTTGTGTCTCCATTGTTTTCTGCATTCCTCATGTGACCTCAGACAAGTTTCGGGTCTCATCTGTAAATCAGAACAGAGCTGCCTCACCAGGATGTTGTGAGATTAAATGAAATTAGGTGTGGGAACCACTTAGCCTTTCTCAGCAAGAAAGGAAATAGGCAATTTCCAGGTGGCATTATGATTACATTATCATGACATAGGTGAGGTATGGTCGAGAAGGTAAGAATGAAAATGTTAGATGTATCCAGCATGCTTTGCTCTTTATGTGCCATGGGTGGTATCATCCAGAACCATAGAAGCAGCTATGGTTTACTTTACTACAGTTGTTTACTTCCTCCTTTCTATGTCAGAAACTACTACTTTATTCGGTGTCAGGTTCCTGCAAGGCTTCTCACCTATACTTTAACCTTTGGGAACTGGGTGTATTAAGTGTATTTTGGAGCCTGTACTTTTAAACTAAGTGAACTTTAATATAATGACTCAATACCTGTCAATATTTTCTTAGCCAGGAATCAGGAGGTAGCGAGTGTGAGGCAATAGTGACTGGATATTGCAGTTTCTGAAGGAGTTTTTCTAATAGGCCCTGTGGCAAGCTTCCTTCTTTCTGCGGGCACATTTCTGTGGGGTTCTGCTTGTGAAGAATGAAACACTGCGGGTACCCGGCGCATACTCAAGCATTGTTGGGTACCTGCGTTCTTTTGGATCTCACCTTTGCACCTGTTGCACGAGCAAGCAGAGACAGGTTTGATGAACAGAGGAGCAGAGATGAGGTTTCCTTGAGAGTGGCGAGGGAAACTGCAAACGATCACAGGTCTAGTTCTGGTGACTGACTTTCAGCTGGGCAGTGTCAGCACAAACTTTGGTAACGGACCATTATTTGGGTTTTAAAAAAATTTGTATTTCTAATCATCGCAGATTGGTACTTTTTATAAAATATAACAAAAATGAAATACAGAAAACAACAAGGTATATACAGAACACAGAAATACAGAAAAATACAGAAAACAACAATGCAAAATATAAACCCACTGATCATGTGCTGGGATGTCTCAGCAAATTGCTATAAATGATTCTAAATGCATAATCTTAATTTTTGTATTTATCTCATTGTGACCCAACAACAAACTGTTCACAGACTGGCACAGGTCCATGAACTACATGTTAATGGCACATCATGTTCCCCCCAAATTAATTGTGGAACGTGTGCACAATAATCAATTAGGACGTTATAACAGAAATTTAGGTGAGAGATGGTGAGAACCTAACCAAGGGATGGAGAAAAGAGGAAACACATGACGGAATTTTAAAGATGAAATTAGAAGAAATTTGAGGTGTTTGTAGGGCATAGAGATATCTAATAATTGATATAGGATATGTGGGTTATTGATGAGAAGTTCTTAACTGTGACCTATAAGTCAGAATTGCCCAAGGAACTTTTAAAAATCTCAGGGCTGAGTATCACTGCATTGCTTTCTTGGAGTTGAGGACCTGGATCTCGTTTGCCACCACGTCCCAAGCATCTAACAATGTATCTAGCACATAGTAGGTACTCAATAAGTATCTATGGAATGAATGAATGAATGCCAATACCCTCTCTTATTGTCCTTCATCACACTTGTCACTAACTGACATTATACTATATATTTATTTTTGTGTGTTTATTGTCCCCTCTCCCCAGATCCATGAGGAAAAGGAATTTTTGTTTACTACTGTAACTTGTTTGGTTCACTGCCGTCCCTATTCCTAGCACTTACAACAGTGCCCAACAAATGCCTCATGGAGTAAATAAATGAATGAATGAAGAAGAAGGATGAGAAACTGACCGACTGAATGAATGAGAATACTTGATGAGATTATGAATTACAAAATAAAGAATAACATTGAATGAGGGGTTAATAAATAAACAAACGAGTGAATAAGTGAATGATTGCATGAAGTAGTTTGGAAGCAAGGAAGTGAGTAAGAAAAGAGGAGAAGGGAGAAAAAATTAAACTACAAGGTAAGAACAGGACTGATAGCACCCAGATTTCCTTGCTTTATATTACTGAGAAACCTTCACTTCCGAAGTATCACCATGAGCTCTCGTGATTCTAAAAGATGGAGGAGAATTTGAGGGGCATTCTCAAATTTGGACAACTGCAAGAGAGCAGCATCTAAGCTGGAGAACTGGAAGGCATGGAGGTAGGAGAGAGCTTGGCTGCTGCAGAGGTTTGTAATGTCCTCATCTCTAGAGAGTGTCTCCAAAATGAGTTCAGGGAGAACAGGATAAAGCCTTCCCTGTGGAATTTCTTTCCATGGCGTTGGCAGGTTTTCCTCTGGGCACTACCCTATGAAATGGCGAGAAAAAGATGAATTTTCTTGCAAGCAAAACTGTGCCTCCTCACCTCACTGTGTTTTTGGTAGAATTAAACACTATTTTGTCATAAGTCATTGTAATGAACCAAAAATGTAGTCTTTGAGCTTCATTGCCTGTGCTTCAGTGATACTCCTGACACCAATCTCCCTTTTACCCTCTGTTGAATGGAAACCAACCAATTAAAACCACTAGTTTAGTTCCGAAATGGAATTATTTTCTCCACTTATGCTCTTTTTGCTGGAAGGCTTTTGCTTGTACATATCTATCTCCCTTTCCCAGATGGATTAGCTGCTTGCCTTCACTCCCAATAATAAGATCCATGTGAGGCACAGAGCTTGCTCCCAAAGGCAGGGTAGAGATGAGTCAATCTGTAGACAATGCATTTGATCTTCTGTCCTTGGATTCATTGCAAATCCAATAGTGTGACCATTTCATTTCTTGTAGGCCTGCCTCACAGAATCACTTACACTGAGCTCTTAAAAGAATCTTAATCCTATAGGATCTTGGATTTACCCAAATCGGTTGTGGTAGAAATAGTTTCTCTGTGACATCAGAGTGCCTTATGCTTGGATGAGAATATTTGTGTTATACATCTGTAGCATGAAATGTGGTAGCATCAGAAAAGTAATATTTTACTTAACAAAAAACCACTGACTTGAAAGGCTTGGGAAAGCATATTTTCTAATTTGCCTGCCTCACTTTATCCCTGAGCCATTTCTTCATTTGTTTATTCGTGTGTTCAGGCTTCACTGAGTGTAACACTGCTAGCATGGTGCTGGGCACTGGGGTTGAGACAGAGCATCAGCTGCCAAGGCACTCATGGTCCAAAGACAGCAACAACAAGAAACACGTGAAAAAAATCACTTGTAGAGTTTGCTTCTGTTTCTAGACACTGTTAATATTTAAGCTGAAAAATACCTCAGAAGAAGGTATAAGATGTCTGCTGTTATTTTTAACTTTAGAGAGAAAAGCTGGTTAAGGTTCAAAAGCTTTTTAAAGTTGCTGTATGTGCTTAGGAGCACTTTATGGTTGGACTGAGAAGCAGATGGAGTGTCCAGCTGCCTGTGCGGTGTGATTTTAAGACGGCAGTAAAGCCCCACCTCTTGCCCAGTATCCACCCCTGCCACAGTACCTAACATTATTATTCCTTCTGGTGAAGTCTTCAAAGACTTGTAGTAAAATGCAGACACTTTTAGGAGGGCAACCCTAAAGCCAATGTCATAGTCCAACATTTTAATAATCCTCTTAACAAAGTAAACAAGTTTTGTCTAAGTGTTCCTTCTAGTATTGCAGGTAGTTTTTGAAAGATGCCTGAGGCAAGAAATTACAAAGCACAGCGTGTGGAATTTGGCTTGCTGTACAGTTTAAAAAGCTCATCTTGTGGAATGTATTGAATATATTTTATATGCAGGACACAGTCTACTGCTCTCAGAGATATTCTAAGAAACAAAAGACAGTATCTGGCTATAAAGAGACTATGTTCTCTTAGGAAAAGTAATGCATCTGTATATGAATATCTGATCACATGACAGCAAATAGTGCCAGGCAGGGAGCAAATTCATAATCCAAAGTACCAGTAAAATGTGCTATGAGATGTGAGACAAGGAGACCCACTTCCACGTGGGCTGATACAGGAACAGCATCACAAAGGAGGTGAGGTTTGAGCTGGGCTTGGAGATGATAGCAAGGATTTGGGCAGAGAGAGCAGAGCAAACGCTTGAGGGAGGGGCTGGGGGATGGGTTGAGTGGAGAAAGCAAAGAGTCAGGTGAGTTTTGGGGATGGTGAGTAGACAGACCACTTTGTTTGGCATGAAGGGTCAAAAGAAAGGAGGAGTAGGAAGGTATATTGGGGCAGACGGTAGAGCATCTCCAATTCCTTCCTGAGGAATTCAGACTTCATTCCACAGGCCTTGAAGATCCAGGGAAAGGTATTGAGCGGAAGAAGGAGATGATCAAAGTTGTGTTTTATACCATTCCAGCTTAGTGGTGGAACGCTGAATAGATTAGGGGAGTGGAACTTTGGAGTCAGGAGGTCAGATATGAGTCTAATACAATTGACAGAAATAAAGGAGGTGCTGGTACAGGTGGAAAAAAAGTGACAGATGTGAGAGTCACCGAGAAGAAAGAATCACCTGGACTTCAGTCCAGGCCTCTTGCCATAAATCACCACTTTACTAATGTGAGACATCAGAGGCAGTATAGCCTAGCCATTATGATGATTGTCTTTGGAGTCAGGATCAGACACACCTGGTCCAGATCCTCAGCTCTTTCACTAATTTTGTGACATTGAGCAGGTTACTTAACCTCTCCAAGCCTCAGTTTTCTCATGAGTGAAATAGGGAAAAGGATGCATACTTCATAGGGATGTTGCGATCACCACCTGAGATGGTTGCTGTGATGATGGTTGCCCAATAAAAGACAGGCAAGCAAAACGTTTTAATCCTTGAGAGGAGCAAAGCTAGAGCTTAATCTAGGAAATAACTCTATTTTCAGAGACAGTTTGAGGCATAAGACTCTTGTTTTAATTTTTTCTAATTAAGCAGACTTGTGAACTGTAGCTAACCCACTATCCCATCCTTATCCCATTTTTGCCCATTCCAACCACAAGGCAACCCAGTAAATACTGTATGTTTCTGATATTTTAGTGTCTGAGCATGTGCTCTGAATGCCTTGTTTCTTCCTCTCTTTTGCTTTCTGAATAGGCGGAACAAAGACATTTTGTTTAAAACCTAAATAGTGTGCCTTATTGTAGTTTGCCAAATAACCTGGATTTAGAAAAACAAAAATGAAAACAAACCCATGGTCACCTGTCTGCTGCTGCCTTCCCTGGCACTGGCTCAGTTGGCCTTCCTTTGTTCAGTCATTCACCAGTCGTGTACCAGGCACTGTACAAGGCATTGCGGGGGTATAAAGATGGTCAAGATACTCTCAAGGGGTCTCCTGGTTTACTATAAGAGATAAGACATGTATACACAGAATGAGATTGCACAGTAGACATGAAATACATAGCTGGATAGAATTTAGTAAGAGCCTGGTTTCATCTCTGGGAAGAAAGGGTACAACAGGATGTGCAAAATGTTGGGCCTGGGGTCCTGAAGGCACAGGAACTGGATTTCCAGGGAGCAGAGGGAGGAGAATGGAGAGGCTCTGCTTAGCCTTTGTTCTTGGTGAGTGGGAGGGGCAAAGGAGGAAGATGGCAGGAGAAGATGGATATTCCATGGAGACCTCCCGACCATCACCACTTGGCTTATGTCCTCTGATTGTGTAACTGCTTTATTTACTAAGGGAGATGATACAAAACACTCTAAGAAACTGAGCATAACATCTGCTATAAGGTTCCTCATTTCGCTCATCTGCTTCTTAAAATGACACTCGGGTACATTAACTTTCTAGTCCTGAGCTATTGGCTGTTTTTGTCCTATGGACACTGAGTTCTATTAGTGACCAGGTTTCTTTTTTCACATTGGCTGCTAGAAACTTGATTCAAGTTTGTGCCCACATGTTGCAAGAATAGAGGCCTCCTGTAGTGTGCTTTTCTATTAGCCTTAATTCTGGCTCCATTATAAGTTCCTATGCTTGTTCTCTTCCCTTCCCCTCCCCATTTTCCTCCCCTTTCTTGCATCCATGTGTTCAGACTGTATTTTATATACATCTGCCTCATCTACTGTAATTCCTTTCTGGAACAATGAGGAGGGTAATGAAGAATGGCTTCCTCCAAACTTCAGCCTGTTCCTGAGACTAACTCCTTACAAAAATAACAGTTGAAGTGCAGAGGGAAGGAAAGGAAAGGAAGCTGCAGGAACGTCTAGGCCACAGTTTTAGTGACAATAATCTTGGGCAAGGCTCTGTGGCCTTGGGGCAAATTGCTGCCCTCCCCCAACCTCCAGTCACTTTGCTGCATGGTAGACGGCCAGCACCCTCTGAGGTATTTTCCAAGTTCTGGACTCTGGTGTGAGTTTTACCAGGGACAGTGGTTTCAGCCAACAGTGACTTCACCTCTTATGCCTGAGGTAGCCCACTGGAGCAGGAAGTCTGAGCAGGGGATTTTCTTCCCCTCCAGGGCCACTCTCACCCTCTTTTGCCCTTCTTACTCAATAGCCAATGGAGTGGATATTCAGGAGGGAGCCTGCTCAACTCACTTTTCTCCATTCATTCTCACCGTACTCTCACCCGGGGGCTGTCCTGTCCCTCGGAGAGGAAATCATAGTCTAGAGAATCTTCCTCACTCCTGAAAGCCAGCTCCAGGCTTCTAACCTCCCACCACCTTCTGGATGCTCTTCTTGTCCTCATCCCTCTTGTATTTGAACAAGAACTCACCTGGCCGGCCTGGAGAGCTAGGTTGAAAGTTCTCAGTAAGTTGCCCAAACCCACCAGGCTCCCTGCACAGCATCTCTTAGATCTGCTGTTTCTTCCATTCCTTTGCCAAGTCACTTGTCTCATCTGAGTGTTTTCTTTAGTTATTTCCCACCTGAGTTGGAGTAAGCACTGTCATTCTGCCCCTGGCCCATGGAATCAGGCCCTAAAACTCTTTAGATTTTATTTCAGCAATGACCTTCCTTCCTTGAGGCGAGTTGCTCCCTTTCGTCTGCATCTGATGTTAGCTTCTGACTTTGAGATGAGTTCGTCTCTACCAATTTAAATTGTGAACCTCCTGTGTGCCTGGTGCCGTGATAAAAACTTGGAAGCTTCTGATGGATGGTGGTGTCTTGTTTCGTACCTGTCTTTCGTTTCTGCTCTGCCATTGCCTTTGCTCCACTGCTTAATCATCTCTGGGCCCCAACTCCCTCTCCCTTCCTGGCAGTTTGATTTTACAAACTTCCTTTCCTATTCTGCCTTAATAGCTTTTGGCTTCAGAGCCATGATTTATACTTCCTCAAAGGGTGAGGTTTTATTCTCTTAATTATTGTTTCTTTTACAGTTCCAGCGTGGTAAATCCAGCTTCCACCGTGCCTGATATATCCCAGGAAAACACAGGGAAGTCAGCTGTGTCTCCAGCTAAGGTAGATTAAATTCAGACTTCAAAAATCTAATTTTTGGCAGGAATGCCATTTTTCTCATTTTATCAAAGCACCATGAAATAAAAAGGATTTTGTAGTATTGTTTTTGTACCAAATATAGATACTTTTTACAATTTAATATAAGACATCATTCCTGGGGTGGAAAGGTTGATGAATACCGTGTTACTGCATTGCTGAAGACCCAGATTTCTTGCCACAGAGAATAAAAAGTCTGAAGCTGTTGGGGGCTGCTTCTTTTAAGCGTGTAGAATGTGACTTGTTGCTTCCATATCAGTCCTGTTTATAGCTCCCTGGATCTGTATTAGAGGTCTGTTTGTGGGAGGGAATTCCCAATTTATGACACTGTAGACAGTAAGCATTGATAGTCAGTCTTATAGTAATGAAAAAAATTCTATTTACTGATACCCTTTCTGACATTAAAATTGTTGATCATAATAGTGATCATGAAGCACTTCAGGATACTTTGATAGGTGTCTTTTAAATCCTTATAGGAAAGGTCAGTTACAGTTAAACTCAGTGCAGCTTTAATCTAGCGCAGTAAAAGAGCCGGGGTGGGAATCTGTGCTGACTAGAGTCTCAGGTGACCTTGACCAGCTCTTTAATATATCCAGACCCAAGTTTTCTCACCTCTGCAAAATGTGACATTTAGATTTGAATGCCTGGCTCTGGTCTGACTTTGGAGGACTCTGGAATTGAGTATATTTTATACAGTTTTATTTTTTTGTATGGCATGTATGGTAATTCTACGCTAACCAGATTAACCGGGACAATCATTTTTCAAACATGCCAGATAGAGTTTACTGGATAAAACTATCAAATATTGGAGATAATAAGCATTTGCTAACACTGAGTTGCTGCTATGGCATTTAAAATGAATTTAATAAACAACATTTTTCCCCAGCAAAGGAAGAATCCATTTAATAGCTCCAAGTTGCCAGAAGATCACTTATCTCAACAAACCAAAAATGAGCAGTCAGAAAATGGAAGGGCTGGTTTCTTTCAGACTTCAAAAGAGGGTAAATATTATTTTTATGGATTAGATATTTTTATCTTTGTTATCTGTGGACTAAGGGAAATTCTCAGAGTGCCTTTAACTAAAATAACTTTCAAGAGAAAGTGAAAAGTCCTGATGGTTTTCTTATGCTGCTATGCCCTTGGTTTCCTGCCTAAGACAAGGAAGCAGAAATTTTAGAAACTAAGTTCATGCATTCCACTCTCAGAGCTGACACTTGTTGTGTGACATCCATGCTTTGGGTTCCCCCTCAGTGAATTGGAAAATTTTTTGACCTGAGGTATTCAGTGATTCATTTAACGGCATTTATTGAATGTCTACCATGTGCAGACACAGTTCTCTATTTAAAATTAAAAGAGATTTTCTCAAGAAAAAAAGGCCCCTTGACCGTGTTTTGATCCTCTAATCTGTGATTATCAGCCCAGTCCCACAGGACATTTGATCGGGTTTGTGACTTAATTCATTTAAGTCTGCCTCTTATGGAATTTTAGCATTCTTCCATACCATTAAGAGGATATTCTAGACAGTTCAGTCTCTTCAAAAGCAACCCTAAGAAGATTCCATAGCATTAAAGATTGGAGAAGGGGTAGAAAATTAACAATTGAACAGCACAGTTAGGAGTTTCAATTATCCTATTTTAATATTAGTGTATTCTTCCCTCTCCATGGCTACGCTTTATATAACGTAAAATATTTTGCAGAAAAAAAGTCACCGGAACATGTTACTTTTTTTTTTTTTAACTTTTTTTAAGTTAATTTTTATTGAGTTTATGATAGTTTACAATCTTGTGAAATTTCAGTTGTACATTATTGTTTGTCAGTTGTGTTGTAGGTGCACCCCTTCACCCTTTGTGCCCACCCCCTATGCCCCCTTTCCTCTGGTAGCCACTAATCTGTTCTCTTTGTCCCCATGTTTAAATTCCTCATATGAGTGGAGTCATACAGAGATTGTCCTTCTCTATCTGGCTTATTTCACTTAACATAATTCCCTCAAGGTCCATCCATGTTGTTGTGAATGGGACGATTTTATTCTTTTTTATAGCTGAGTAGTATTCCATTGTATGTATATATATATATATATATATATATATATATATATATATATATATATACCACATCTTCTTTATCCAATCATCAGTTGATGGGCACTTAGGTTGCTTCCATGTCTTGGCTATTGTAAATAATGCTGTGATGAACATAGTGGTGCGTGGGACTTTTGGAACTGCTGACTTCAAGCTCTTTGGATAGATACCCAGTAGTGGGACAGCTGGATCATATGGTATTTCTATTTTTAATTTTTTGAGAAATCTCCATACTGTTTTCCGTAGTGGCTGCACCAGTTTGCATTCCCACCAACAGTGTATGAGGGATCCTTTTTCTCCACAACCTCTCCAACACCTGTTACTTTTTGTTTTGGTTATTTTTGCCATTCTAATGGGCGTAAGGTGATGTCTTAGTGTAGTTTTGATTTGCATTTCCCTGATGATCAGTGATGATGAACATCTTTTCATGTGCCAATTGGCCATCCATATATCTTCTTTGGAGAAATGTCTGTTCATGTCTCCTGCCCATTTTTTGATCGGGTTGTTTGATTTTTTGTTGTTGAGTTGTGTGAGTTCTTTATATATTATGGAGAGTAACCCTTTGTTGGATATATGACTTGCAAATATTTTTTTCCCAGTTAGTGGGTTGTTTTTTTGTTTCAATGCTGTTTTCCCTTGCTTTGAAGAAGCTCTTTAGTCTGATGAAGTCCCATTTGTTTATTCTTTCTATTGTTTCCCTTGTCTGAGAAGACATGGTGTCCGAAAAGATCCTTTTAATACTGATGTCAAAGAGTGTACTGCCTGTATTTTATTCTAGAAGCTTGTGGTTTCAGGTCTTACCTTTAGGTCTTTGATCCATTTAGAGTTTATTTTTGTGAATGGTGAAAAAGAATGGTCAATTTTCATTCTTTTACATGTGGCTTTCCAGTTTTCCCAGCACCATTTGTTGAAGAGACTTTCTTTTTTCCATTGTATGCTCTCAGCTCCTTTGTCGAAGATTAGCTGTCCATAGATATGTGGCTTTATTTCTGGGCTTTCAATTCTGTTCCATTGATCTGTGCACCTGTTTTTGTACAGTACCATGCTATTTTGATTACTGTAGCTTTGTACTATGTTTTGAAGTCAGAGATTGTGATGCCTCCAGCTTTGTTCTTTTTTCTCAGGGTTGCTTTAGCAATTCGGGGTCTTTTGTTGCTCCATATGAATTTTAGGATTCTTTGTTCTATTTCTGTAAAGAATGTCATTGGGATTCTGATTGGGATTGCATTGAATCTGTAGATTGCTTTAGGTAGTATGGGCATTTTGACTGTGTTTATTCTTCCAATCCATGTGCATGGAATGTCTTTCCATATCTTTATGCCATCATCCATTTCTTTCAGGAAAGCCTTGTAGTTTTTGTTGTATAGGTCTTTCACTTCATTAGTTAAATTCGCCTCAAGGTATTTTATTCTTTTTGTTGCAATTGTGAATGTATTGTCTTCTTGAGTTCTTTTCTTGTTAGTTCGTTATTAGAGTATAGAAATGCTACTGATTTCTGTAAGTTGATTTTATATCCTGCAACTTTGCTGTAGTTGTTGATTATTTCTAAAAGTTTTCCAATGGATTCTTTGGGGTTTTATATACAAGATCACGTTGTCTGCAAACAGCACGAGTTTCACTTCTTCCCTCCCTATTTGGATTCCTTTTATTTCTTTCTCTTGCCTAATTGCTCTGGCCAAAACCTCCAGTATTATGTTGAATAAGAGTGGTGATAGAGGGCATCCTTGTCTCATTCCTGTTTTCAGGGGGATGGCGCTCAGTTTTTGCCCATTGAGTCTGATGTTGGCTGTGGGTTTGTCATATATGGCCTTTATTATGTTGAGGTAATTTCCTTCTATCCCCATTTTGTTCAGAGTTTTTATCATAAATGGCTGTTGGATCTTGTCAAATGCTTTCTCTGCATCTATTGAGATGATCTTGTGGTTTTTATTCCTCAATTTGTTGATGTGGTGTATCAAATTGATTGATTTGTGGATGTTGAACCATCCCTGTGTCCCTGGTATGAATTAATTTTTGTCAGGTATTGAGATTTTCTTTTTAAAAAATTGAATTCCTTTTTCTGATTTTCTTACGTGAATTGTTTAAGTGACGTCTGTGTTTTTCCAAGGCCTCCTTAAGGATGTTTTTTAAATTCTTTTTAAAAAAAAATTTTATTTTGTATAAAATATCCACAAAGTACATACGTAAAAGCACAGTAATCTTAAATGTACAGTTCAATGAAGTTCATGCATGAATTTTTTTTTAACTTTTTATTAAGATTATGATAGTTTACAACCTTGTGAAATTTCAGTTGTACATTATTGTTAGTCGTGTTGTAGGTACACCACTTCACCCTTTGTGCCCTCCCCTCACCCCCCCTTTCCCCTGGTAACCACCAATCAATTCTCTTTGTCTCTATGTTTAACTTCCACCTATGAGTGCAGTCATACAGAGTTCGTCTTTCTCTATCTGGCTTATTTCACTTAACATAATACCTTCAAGCTCCATCCATGTTGTTGTGAATGGGGCGATTTTGTCTTTTTTATGGCTGAGTAGTATTCCATTGAATACTAGATATATATTAGATATATATATAATAGAAGATATATATACCATATCTTCTTTATCCAATCATCAGTTGATGGGCATTTAGGTTGCTTCCATGTCTTGGTTATTGTAAATAATGCTACAATGAACATAGGGGTGCATGAGAATTTTGGAATTGCTGATTTCAAATTCTTTATAGATACCCAGTAGTGGGATGGCTGGGTCATAAGGTATTTCTATTTTTAATTTTTTGAGAAATCTCCATACTGTTTTCCATAGTGGCTGCACCAGTTTGCATCCCCACCAACAGTGTATGAGGGTTCCTTTTTCTCCACAACCTCCAACATTTGTCACTTTTTGTTTTGGTTATTTTCATGGATGAATTTTTAAAAGCTTTTAAATTAGGTCTGTACTTATGCTACATACTTAATTGCCTTTAATGTTTTAATACTTTTGCTAAATGTAGATTAAGTTTATGATAGGTGTTTTAAATTATAGAGTTATTCTCACCTAATATATATAGAGAGAGATATATATATATATCACCTAATGGTATATATCACATCACCCAATATCACCTAATGTGTTTTAATTCTCAGATGAAGTGTCAGAGTCAAAAGAGAAGTCTTCTACTCTGGATATTTCAAGTCAAAAGTTAGAGAAACCGAAGCCGACTTTTCCAGGCCCTGAGAATGAGTCTCAAATCAAAGCTCCAATCCCCAAAGCCAGAAAAATTATCTACAGATCACATAATTTAAAGCAAGATGACAACCCGTCTTTTCCTAGACAAAGGACAGACTCCCTGAATGCAAGAGGGGCTCCAAGAGGGATCCTGAAGCGCAACTCCAGTTCCAGCAGCACCGACTCAGAAACTGTTCGTTTTCATCAAAACTTTGAACCCAAAAGCAAAATTGTGTCACCCAGCCTAACCATCCATGAGAGAATTACTGAGAAGGAGCATTCTTTAGAAGATGACTCCTCCTCAAACTCACTGGAGCCATTAAAGCATGTGAGATTCTCTGCAGTGAAGGATGAACCCCCACAGAGTCCTGGACTCATCCAAGGCCGGGAAGTGGGAGAATTCAGTGTTTTAGAATCTGACAGATTGAAGAATGAAACAAAAGATGCAGGGGACATAGATGAGTTTTGGAATGAGCCTAAGCCTTCCCAATCCAGAAAGCCTTCGCCTTTACGTCAATCAGCCTCAAGCCCAAGTGCATCAAAAAATGAAACACATCAGCCAACAACTGCTGGTTCTTTTCCAATTAATGGGCACCATTCTCCCTCAGAAGCTTTAACTGCAAGACCACAGTCCCTTGAGAATTCACCCACCATCAATGAACACAAAGCAAAATCACCAGAATTATCAAGGCCTGAATCAGCATTGTCCAAAAGCCCTGCTGGTAAGAGAGTTATCACTACCAGAGTATAACAACTGCCCCAGTGGGCTTGGAATGGCCACCCCAGCCAGCCCTCTACAAGCCCTATTTACCTCCTAGTCATTCCAACTAAAATTCAGGCAGATGCCACTGAGGAATGTGTATACCTCTTAATGGGTTTGGAGGTTTTTCTCAATCACTGGTAACTAAAAGAAGCAGGATAGCACAGTTTCTGGCCCATTATGCTTTATCCTAAAAAATCTAACTGTATCAATGATATAACTAAACAAATCACAGTCTTTTGAGTTAAATCAAGGCATATATGCAGAGTAAAGAATTAAAGATATGCTAAATACCTTTGTATAGAGTAAATATATTATTAGTCACCTAAAGCAAATTTATCAAGTACCATTTAACCAACCTTGTGTTTCTCTTTTAATCTCAGGAGAGCCTTCACTTTCTTAGCCTCAAAGGTTGGGAACTAGACTTTGAGAACTTACCGTGCGAAAGCCTCAGACTTTAACCTGCCCAGGGCCTCCAGCCATTTGTTCTCAGCCTTTAAAAGCTCTGAAGGCACTTTCTCTTTCAGCTGGTGCGAGTGGAGAGGCAATGAAAGTGCTGCTTTTTCCTGCTAGCTAGCTAACTAGCCCTCTCTTGAAGATCCTACAACTCTCAGGGGATACCTCAAACTGCTTTCCTGTACCTATACGATTACTTCAGAGTTCTTATGTTTTAAAAAACAGAAACAATGGGAAAAATCATTCTGTGTACACTGCCCCTTCACAATGTACACTTTAATAAGTCTTAATCCAACCCTATGATAGTTTCTTTATAATCGAGAAAAACAGTAGCAACGGTCAAGTTTCTAACTCACTGCTCTCCCCTCCCTTATTAGTCAATATTAAGTTAACCCTGGATCCCTTTTGCTCAGCCCTACAGTTTCATATTTGCTCAGATCAATTTACTTCTTAAAGGACAAAGAATTTTCACCACCCCTTCCCTGGGACATTTTAAATCACTTGAAGAGAACAGAATATTTTTTTAAAAATTAAAAATTAGCAGGTGCTTCTTCAAGAAATAAAAGAACTCATATTAAAGGAAATTACTAAAGTTTGAGTAAACATTAGCAAATAACTAGATGATACAGACTTAAATGTTTATTCAAAAGGTGAAAAAAATTTCTTTGGTAATATGTTCCTTTATTATAATTCATAGAAAAAATTTGGTAAGCCTTTCCTGTTTTTCAAACTGTACCTACCTGCTTTCTCACAGGCTGTCTTTAAAATTTTGTATTAACTACTTGTTTGTGCTTTCTGATTTTTAAATCCCAGCTGACCTCTGCATTTGGGAGGAAGACATCATCAGCTACACCCATGTTGATTAACAGGCCTTGTGGCCTCAGAGCTTATATCGTAGTTCTGCTTACTCATTTAGTGCCCTGCTTTTTTCTCTGCTTACCACAAAAATATACACAGGTGAAAAATGGAGCATAAAAAAGAAAATAAGGACCAAAAAAGTGGTAAACTCTGTGCAAATTACGAGGGTTTGACTTTAGGTCTGAGCTTCAGTATAGTCAATATCATACTCATTATCACACTGGAAAAAAACCCAAAAGAATTCCTCAGGGCAAACAAAACATTACCTGGTGTTAATTTTTGAAATAACTGTTCTTAATTTAAGGTAATAAACTTTCGTTGTAAAACATTTGAAAAGATCAAATGTGCTCAGATGCACTGAGCCAACAGCTGATAAATGGTGCTACACCTCAATAGCTAAAGTACATGGGTCTAGGGATGAGGGGATGGAAGTAAAATTGGCCTCTTGCACCATTGCTCCCAGTAACTCTCTTCATTTAAAAAATAAAAAAAGAAATGCACACGGAATAAAACAGATATCATCTGTGATGTCATTACCCAGCATTAACTATTGTTAAGACTTAATTGAAGAGCCTTTCAATAATTTTCAGGCATGAATATAATTTTAAATTATATTTATACTGCCCAGACTTCTTTTTTCACAAACATTACTACATTTTTTCATCGTTAAATAGTCTTCTGTTAAACAGAATTCTTAAAGATTTCTCAAAGGAACTTCACAATTATTGACATGTATTTAATAGTATGATGTGTAGTTAAGGAAGGAAACCAATATTCACTATGCCAATTATTGTATAAGAATTTGTAGTTTTGCGTTTAGCCAGAGTTGATTAAAATTAAAGATAGAATTTTATTAATATGTCCTTTAGTGCATTTGAAATGTAGCTGACTTCATAAAAATTCAGTTCACATAATTTTCAACAAAATGTGCTGCGTGGCTTAGCTTTTATAAGGAAGAGGAGAAAAGCTGAAACACCTGAGTTTTAAGTAAAGGGGAGAATGCCTGAGTTTCCTCATCTAAATGTACCCTGTGCCCTGTGATTAAGCCTTGAAAGGACTCTCTCTGCTTTCTTGATAGCTTAGAAAGAACTTAAATATCCTTCTCTAGTCTACTAGCTCTTGGTTAGCCGACATCAGGGAACTGATAGAGATCACATTTTCCATCAGTCCTCATTTTAGTTTATTTGGCTCACAGAAACTACTTCTAACTCATAAATTGACAAAGATAGATAGGGGATAAAGGAAAAGCCTCTTGATATCATGGTCCTCAAACTCCAGTATGCAAAGCAGTCACTGAGATAGCTGTTAGTAAAGATTCCTGGGCCCCATCTTCAGAGATTCTGGTTTAATACATCAGGAGTAAGGCCCAGGAATGCAGTATCCTCATTGTGCCATTCTAATGTTCTGGAGGGAGCTCCTTGTTTAATACTCCTTGAAAGTTGTTCTAACTCCTGAAATCCCCTAAGTCTAACTTATATCTTGGGTATAAGTCCCCTCTAGGGTTTATGAGTGTACCAGTGGAGGGGTGGAGTCGTAAAATCAACATCGTGTATCTTCCTGGAGTATCGTCTTTATGCAAAGATTTGAGAATAGGAGAAAATTGATATTTAAAAGGTAACATGGGGGGCCGACCCAGTAGCACAGTGGTTAAAAGGTAACATGGATCAGAATGCAAAATTCACATGAATTTTTTAAATAAACCAGAGACTTCAAAGAAATTTCCCAGTTTGGTCTACACTCCTCTCTTGCGGGAGTCTACATTTACCTTCCTTTACTGTGATAGGGCATCTTTGGCAGAATATCTTAATTAGGATGATTTACATTATTACCCCCCCCAAATGTTGATATAAACAGCTAGTGGTGTGGAAAGTATAAATACAAAGTGTCTTTTTAAAAGATAATGTGAGTGGTTAAATGATAATTCTTTAAGCATTCTCTTTTCTTATTTAGAAAAGCATTTCTATGTTGCAGATGAACTGTCTCATGTTGAGCCTGAACCATTTCAGGTGCCAGATCGCAGTTCTCGAGACCATCAGCAAGGTAAGCCCCCTCTCCTCAAAGCCCTAAAAGCTAAGACGTCATCACGCTCTGGTCTAAATGCCACTGAGATAAGGAAGACAACTGATGATTCCATATCTAAAGTCCTAGACTGGTTTAACCGAAGTTCTTATGCAGATGACAATAAGTCATCTCTCCAACATCCCCAAGACATAGAGCCCAAAGGAAAAACAGACTCAAAATCACAGATTGCTACTGCCTTGGTGACAGATGACACTGGTCTAAAAGAAAATGGGTCAAAGGCTCTATTATCTGCTGAAGTTGAATTGACACCTATGGGATCTGATTCAACGTTCCAGGTAAAGGGAAATATGCTGTCTTCTGGAAATTGCCAAGATAACAATGTGAATCTAAAACCAAAATCTATTAATTTGTCCCAACAAGGCAAAGAAGGTCCAGGCATATTGCAGCCATTTGAAATATATGGTCCAAATCAAGGAAGCAAAGCTCTGGACTATAGCCAAGGTTCAAAAAACACAGGAGAAAGAAGTGGGGTACTTCCCCCAACCAGTAACTATTCCTACGGTGCTCTCAAAGGATCTGATGGAGAAGACCAAGTTCTATGCAATGTTAAGGATGTTGGCAGTGAGGGAGAAGAAGAGCCTAAGCTTTGTGCTTATGAAAAAAATAGAGGAAACTCAGAAGTGAATTTTGATTCTTCAACCATTGTCGAAGAACCAAGTTTGAAAGACAATTCGAAGGCAGAGACAGAGAGCCAAGGAGGGAATACTTACATCCCCAAAGCTTCTTTAGAGTCAGAGAATATTGAGTCACCACCTGGGGCTGCCAATAACACATCTCCTTGGAAGAAACTGGAGGTCCAGCTACAAGAAGCTGGTGAGGTTCCCAAGAACCAAGTGCAAAGAGAGAAATACAAAAGAGTGAGTGAAAGAATATCCTTTTGGGAAGGTGAGAAAGCTGCTGCTAAGTTGACTCATAAAGAACCCACATCTTCATGCAGTCAGGAACAACCTTCTGCTAAAGCATATCAGCCTATGAAGTCCATGGACAGTTTATCTATGGGCCAGAGTCAATATAATCAAGTCACTGCCAAACGAGTGGTCCTAGAAGAGGATGGCCAAGCAGCCCATCTCTCCAGTTTTTATTCCTCAAATAAATCTGAAGAGACCAGGCCCCAAATATCAGGTCCATCCAAAAATTACCCCTCAGCTGACCAATCAAGTAAAGCGTCTCTGTTTCACAATAAGAAAAGCGAACCTATAAAAAGATTGCCAGTGGCAGACAGTTTGCATTATGAAAGGGACATTACCTTACCGGCCCTGCAACATCCTTCAAATGTTGGGAGTGAAAGACATACTCCTTTGGAGGAAGACAGATCTCTAATTGGTGAATCAAATCTCAGCTTTAAAGTTATGTCCCTAAAAGAAAGAACAGGTGAACCCAATACAGAACAGGTTTATAATCACTCTCAATTTGAGAATTTGAGAAAGTTTTGGGACTTAGGAGCCAATCCAAACAGTCAGGATAATGTTGAGAAGAATCCTACGACAACAAGCCAAAAAAATTCTGTGTCTTTTAATAGCCAGAAACACAAAGAATTCAGTGACATTAAATCATCAGGGAAAAATACCCATGAAATAGAGGCACTCCTAAGCCAAAAAAAAGTTCCGGCAATAGAGGAAGTAGAGAAATTAAATTCAAAGTGCACACTCCAGGTGTTACCAGATGAAACCACGTTTCCATTGAGACCACCCAGAAAGTCCAGTCATCAGTCGCCAGGAAATGAGTCATCAAAGGAAAACGTGGAAAAGAATATGGAATGGTTCATTACTCCAGTGTTCAAGAAAGAAAAGGATTACTCAGACCAAGAGATTCAAGAATCTATAGTGAAAACAACTGTTTTGTCTAAAGACTACAAAGACACTTTTAATGACAGCTTACAGAAGCTGCTTGCAGAAGCTTCGACACCAGCAATCCAACCTTCTGGTGGAAAAGTTCATGGAAAACGAGTGCTTGAACCAAGTGTCTCTGAAAATATGACATGGCCTCGAAAAACAGATTTTGCCAATACTGAGGAAGAAGCTAAAGCACCTAAGGAGATCATTAATGAGCATGTAGACAAAACAGTAGCTCCTCCAAAGGTCAATCCAAACACTTTGACTGCTAGTCTAGACAAACTCTTGAAGGAAGCAACTGGAACTTCATCCTCTCCCATGCAAACCATGTTGGAATCTGTTACCACTAGGTTCAATTCTGAGCCTGAAGAGAGTAGAGTTTTTGAAAAAGAGATAGAACAGAGTTACCACACATCAGCCTATCAGAGAGAGGAAGAAACTTTGGGAAATACGGCTCTCCCCCAGAAAGCTGAAAGTGGTGAGTGCCAGCTAAACATGGAGAGCTTGTTTCAGATGCCTACAGGTTTTCACCCATTGGATCAACCATCCCATCTTCACAGAAAGGATTCTTTTGGGGATGTGGCCAACACTCCCCAAGATATGCCTTCTTCCTGGGATGCTCATCTTGCTCCCCAGGATGAGGCACTACCTTCTCAAAGGGAAATTTCAGAGACTGTAGAAAAAGTCATTCTTCCACTCAAACGTGTGTTGAATGATGTAAATGCTGTATTACAGAAGCTACTTAGAGAAGCTTGGTTGAGTTATCCAGTTGGGAGGGAAGTAGTTCCTGGAGAAGTAAAAGCAGAATTTCCTGAAGGAGTACAGGCAGGAGGTAGCCCTAAAAATTCTCTGGGAGTTATTTCACCATGGGCTACAATGGACATCATAGTTCCAAACAGCAAGGATTTTTATTCCTTCAATGTAGTTCCTGATAAAACTCATGCAGTTGGATCATATTTAGCTGCCCAGATGTCTCCATCAGAGCAAACCCTTAGCTCCGGTCCGACTGTTGCTCAGTATGGCAAAGAGTTGCCTCAGGAAGTGGTAGAAATTGTGAGGAAAACAATTATTCCATCTAAATCAGAGCTCCTTGAATTCAGTGCTGGCTTAGAAAAACTACTGAAGGAAACAATTGAAACCCCTTCCTCAAAATGTGAAAATGATACAGGGACTCTTTCTCCATCAAAGTTAATAGGCAGTACTGAGGTGCCCAGGCAAGCTGCTCCTGAATTCCATCCTGAGGAAATAAAAGAAACAGTAAAAAACTCTGGGGCTCCATCAATAACTGAGAGTGCTTTTGATGTTGGTTTTGAGAAACTCCTTAAAGAAACATCTGAAATTCCTTATCAGTTCCAGGTGTCAGTGGAGGAGGAAATTCCTAGGACGGAGTCTTCACAGTCAGAGCAGGCCAGGTTCTTGGAGACAGTACCCCATTTTTACTGGGCAGCTTCAGAGGCCTCTGAAATGAAGCTTAAGAGTAATGTTTTCAAATCTCAAGTCAACCAATGTGATAAAGTGATGAGAGGAGACGAAGCTGTGACTGATTTATCAGTAGATCTCTGTGATTCTGAAAGTGGGGTTGAGATCACTGGAACCCCACAACTTTATGTGGACCATGAAATAGGGACTATTGAGACTATAAAACCCCCAGAGGTCAGGGATAGTGAAATTGAGGTGGCAGGGGTTGGAGAAGGAGCTTTTCAGGAGCATGGCTTTGAAGAGGTTCCTGAAGCAATTAGTATGTCCAGAAATAGGCAACCCATTTCTCTCCTGACGAACAATGAAAACCCTACAAAACCAAGTAAAGTTGAATTGATTCTGGTATCACCATATAAGAGACAAGAGAAAGAGGAAGAAAAAGAAGGTTTCTCTGACTCTGATTTTTCAGGTGGAAACATCAGTTCTAATGCAGAAAGCTGGAGAAATACCTCCAGTGAGCATTTTGAAATTTTTAACCCATTGGTTAATGAGTTGATTTATGGAATGCTGATGTAAAGGATGATATAGTTTTTAAAATTGAGATTAATCTGACACTCCCACATACTAAATTCTTATCACTTAAGTTCTCCCCAGGCTTTCTTCATAAAAAACTACATTTCCTTTTATATTTTTCAATCAAATGAGTTACATAGAGAAGGCTTTATACAAGGCAGTGGTTCAGAATCTGACTTTATTCTCAGTAATCAACAACAGAACTTTCAGGTTTCAAAATATTTTTTAAAGAACTTTTTGGGTTTAGAAAGTACCTCTAAAACATCCAAGCTAGTTTTCCTCCTGGAAATAATTGGAATTTCTTTCTCAATTGGCAATCCACACAGAAGCTTCTAGTAAGATTTGTGGCAAGAAATTGCCACAAATGGGCTCAAATTTCCTTTTAAGGAGCAATATTTTACCACAGTAGCAGCTAAATATCAGGAACAAAGTGCAAGGCTGGAACTTTCTTTCCCTCAGATACAACGTGTTGTGGTATTTTTGTTGCCACCCTCTCCTTCTCGTTTTCAATTATCTGTAGAATCCCCTTCTAGAGCATGACTTTGGTCAGATACTTCACCTGATTCCACCTAAGGGCATTGCCTGGCCTGCTGCATTTCTTTGACTCCAGTCTTGGCTAAGTGGATGAAGATCTTAATCGATACCACATTCATCTAAGTGGACTTTGGGGTACTGGTTTCAGTCAGGCTATAAAACACAGGGCTTGTCTCAGTTTTCTATTCTGATCAACAAGAGCATTTTAGCAGAGAAACCCAGGAGCAAATAGGAATGAGAAGTTACTTGACTAGAGGGATGAAATGATAAAGGATGCTCTCTGGCTGGGAGATTTTAACCAAAGTTGCACAACAACTAGTACTGATTGCCTTCCTAGTAGGTTAGCAAAATTTGTCATTTTCTAGCTCCCTCAGTCTCGATGGGAATAAATAAGCTTTACTTGATGGCTGACTTATGAGGTTTGGGTTCCTTTGCAAGTAGCTGTAGAGCCTCTTCTTGAAAACTCACCAAAGATTCCAGCTTTGAACTTAATTAGTCAAGTTGAAGCCCCTTTAACAAATTTTGCTGGTAAGAAAAGGAAAGTGAAATACCAGTCTCAAACCAGACATACACAAGAGTATAAGTCGGCATGTTAAAACTCATTAAAGTGGACTTTCACTAAACGACTACAGGAGTTACTAGGGTAAACTGACCCACAGGAGGAGGAGGAGGGCTTATAAATTTGCACTTACTCTGGAGACTAGTGCCTAATGTGCATAGCTATGTTTATAGTATACCAGCCTAACTGGTTGAACAGCAGAAAGCTTTTCTAAAAATGACATAAGCAATATTAAATAACCCCCTAGACAGAGCCCATGTATTTTGAAATTATAAGCCAAGTAAGAGATATAGAATGGCACAGTCATAGTTTTATATCCTCTAACCTAAATGATTATTTTAAAACAAATGCATGGGGGTGGAGTGAGAGTAGGGAGGAAACTGACTAAAAGGTCACCATAATTTTGGTGAGTAACCTGACATTTTTGACTTGTGGCTGAGCTCTTAACCAACCAGTACCTCAAGATCCTCCTTAGAAAAAAGGGGAGGGGGCTGGCTCTGTGGCCTAGTGGTTAAGGTTCAGCACACTCTGCTTCAGTGACCCAGGTTTGGTTCCTGGGTACAGACCTACACCACTCGGTGGCCATATTGTGGTGGTGACCCACATACAAAATAGAGGAAGACTGGCACAGATGTTAGCTCAGGGCAAATCTTCCTCAAGCAAAAAGAGGAAGGTTGGCAACAGAAGTTACCTCAAGGCAAATCTTCCTCAGCAAGAAAAAAAAATGGGTTCCATAGTCAAATACTTCTGGAAACACTGAGAGATTATGCACATTATTAGTATATCAAAGTTTCTGAGAAGATCAGTAGTAAGAAATCTTTAAATTTGGACACAGAGCATCCCAAATCTAATTCATCTTAGAGTCCACTTTCTGTAGAATGTCTATTAACATGGGGCAGAAATGGGATGCATTTGAGGAAAGTATTGTCTGGAGAAGTGGTTCCCAAATTCATTGACTCATTAATGGAAGCATTCGTTGATTTAGCAAACATTTTTGAAGAGCCTATTGCCAGCCACAGTTCTAGGCACTGAGAATACAGTAGTCAAGAGTGATAGTACTCAGACCAGGGCTTATCCATGATGGAGTTTTCACTGTCACAATGGAAAAATTAAGGACTGTCTAGACAAATTTTTTTGTACCATTAGTTGTATTTAATTTAAAGGGCTTTTCTTATTCTGAGGTTATGCCCTTTTTCTTTTTTTCAATTTTGGTCCTTAAAATGCCTTTCCTTTTATAAAATAAAGGCATCAGTAGATGATAAGAGTCCCCGCCTCCCTTTAGAATGCCTTAGTAAAATAAAAAGTTGACTACCTCATGCCATTTCCCAACATTTTGTTGGAAATTTTATTAGCTCATGAAACCCAAAAAGCCTACATCCATCTGGAGAATTCACCCATCTGTGTCCCCGATTATACACAGATGTTAAACATCCGAATCTTGCCTTCAGCTAATTTTTTTAATGCTCCTAAAACCACTTTGTGGCTGTCTTCAACAGCTGAAAGTGAAATGGAAAGATTCAAAATCTGGCACAGAATAAATTATGTGCCTAAAATAGAGGTGTAGAAGACTAAGAAATCATATTTCTATTAATGTGGTAATCTTGCTTCTGTATGATTTATGCTTGCAAATACTTCTTAGCCAGCAAAACTATTTTTTAAAGGATATACTAATAGTGGAGAGATTTTATTTTCTTCTGTGAAGTTCTTCATAGAGTAAATAAAAGTATGGAAGCTTATGGCATAATGCCTCATTTCAACCTATCATTTCAATGTTCGTTGGCTATTAAGTGTTTGGGTGGTTTTTTTTTTTTTTTGGTATTGTGCAGTGTTCATCGGTTTTGTCTTGTAACAGGTTCAGAAGAAGAACCCAGTCCCGTTTTGAAAACTTTGGAAAAGCGTTCTGCTAGAAAAATGCCTTCCAAAAGTCTAGAAGACATTTCATCAGATTCATCAAGTGAGAATAAAGTTTGCTCCACTGTTCATGCCCCCATCTAAGCTTAAAAATGCTTATGTGTTCTCCTTTGGCCTCACTGCATGCTGTTGTGCACTGAAACCCCTATAGGGGGGAGCAGTTAACAGATGAGAATAACCTTTCCCAAGTGAGCTGAGGAGGCTCACCCTAAAGTGGCTAGAACTTCGCTTTTAAAATAATGCACAAGGTTTAGTTACTAGAGCACTAGGTTTCCTCGAATTAAAGAATCCCACTTTGAGTGTTTATTCAAGTACAGTGAGTTTTAAAAGACTGTGGTAGCTAGTGGTTCTAGTAGTAATATCTAACATTTGTCGAGCACTATGTACCAAGACTTGGCTAAGCATTTTACATGCATTATCTCATTTAAGTGGCATAAGCAGCCCTGTGAGGGATGAATTGTTTTTATCCCCATTTTACAGATGAGGAAAATGAAGGTCAGAGAGGTAAAGTAACGTGCTTGGTGTCACACAGCAGAGCTGAGACTCAAAATCAACACACTATTATCAAGAGCATTTATAAAGTGACTATGTTCTTTATGACAATCTTGGATGTCTGATGAATTTTTCCTGATATACAGATGGAATAGTCCCTGACTTCAAGGACTTTCCTTTCTCTTTTGTCCCTTCTTTTCATGCATTTCTTTTGGATCCTGGAACTATAAGTCCAAAGACTACCTGACACACGACACATTAGGCACACTATTCCCCATTGGCTGCTGCTTTAATAGGGGAAGGATTTCTTGACTACCAACATAAAGCAAAATGAGCCAGACAAATGGACTTAGAAATCACAACTTCTAGGGTTTTTGTTCTTGTTGTTTTTAAGCTAAGATGCACCCCTGGGATTGCAGATGGTCATGAGGAAATTTACTGAGTGAAAGTTAACCACTGCCAAACTCATGATTAAAAATTGACCATTGTCATATTTGGAATATTTGTTATGCATCTGCAATTAAGACTAGAAAGTTAGAATTTAAAAAGGCAAAGAAAAAGCCACTCCACTGAACAATTCCTAAAATTCAGAGATTCCCAGGGCTCTGAAGACAGTGTTCTCAATTTGGAATGCAGTCCTAACCCTACCAAAGATCTTGGAATCTCAGGGTTGGAAGGGACCTTGAAGGTCACCCATACCAAACTTCCCCCAATGCAAGAATTCCCTCTAAAGCCTCCTCAACAGGTGGCCAACCCCCACATCTGCCTGAATACTTCCAGAGAAGGCGAGTCCAATCCTTTGTTGGATAGCCCCAATTGTTCTTCCTGATGTTGGTGATGGGCCCTGAGAAAAAAACCTCAGCAACAATTGTCCAGTTTGGAAAACCCCTTGCCTGTGAAGCATGGGGCTATTTCCATGGTGCAGCTTTAAAGTACTCAGGAATGTGTAGGGTTAAAAAAAAAATCACCATCAGCTGACGGGTATTCCTGCACGCTCCCTTCCAAATACCGATACCCACTCTCACACTAGCCTGCCAAGATTCCACTTAGCAGCTGGTCCCCAGTTACATGTCTTCAGTTGACTTCCCAAGCAAGGCTCCCAGAGGCGTACACAAATGATGATGCACGCACAGAAATATTTGTTAATGACCATGGGCTTGAGAAGGTGTTAGTCATGGCTAGCATCTTAACCTTTGCAGAAGAATAGAGAGGCTGTTCCAGTGCTGTGCTTTCTCCTGCTGCCAGCCGATTGCTTGCTCTGAGCTAACCCTCTAACCCCTGGGAGTCCGTGTGCAGCAGTGTGCTGATGTAAGCTGCATCGGAGCTGAAATGGGAGCTCCTGCTATGGCACTGGCTCAAGTAGCTAATCTAAAGAGAAAGTATTTTGGGGAAGACATCTTGGTTGCACCCCTCACTGCATCTTGACTAATTGCTTCCAACTCCAGGGGCTTCCAGGGACAATCTCGTTGTTTTTTCTCATCAAGGGTCAGCCGTGTTAACCATTTGTTAATTTCTCCTGAACAGATCAAGCAAAAGTAGATACTCTGCCAGAAGAATTAGTACGTAGTGCTGAAGATGGTAAATATCTTTATGTATTTGCATGTCTGTCTGTGTTTTAGGTTCTGGGGTGGTTTGGGCAGTCACCGAGATGCAGCTGTTGGATAAATAGAAGAACGTCATTTGTCACTATGTGATGAATGGTGCCTAAGTTATAAAATGGTTTCGACTTGGTGCATTTAATGCTAACTCTTTGTATTCCTAAGGCTTCTGCTGGTGATACTGTTGTGAGGATCTCATCAGAGACCCTTGGGAAGTGAAGGTTTCTATAAATAGGAAATTGTATTTCTATGAGTATAAGCTGATTTTTGCTACTCTGACTTGCAGAACTCCTCGGGAAGGCAGCAAAAGTGGAGTGGGCTCCTGGGTTAAGTTATTCCTGTATTTGATTCTCAAGTCTCAGCATTTAGGTCTCTCTGGACATAACTGGTTAAGTTTTAGTTTCAAAGGAAGGGGTCTCAGAACAAGAGTGGGGATCCTGCCTCTGTTCATGTAAATAACTGATTGTAGACCGAGGGTAAAATGAACTGATTCTAAATACTAAGGAGCCAGAAGATCTGGAAGCTTGTCAATGGATCAGGTATTACTTGGTTCAGTTATAAAATGAATAGGAAAATAGTACCTTGATGTGGGGAGTGATGGAAATGAGTCTGATTTTTATAGTTCAGCATTTATGCAAATGTATAATTTATATTTGTATGCTGCTGTTTTGTTTTCTAAATTTCCTTCACTGTAAAAATAAAAATGTATATTAACTCAGCTTTCCCACATAAAACGTGGCAACAGAGCTCCTCAAAAGTCATTCCTTACTTTTATGTAATAGTTTTGTCTTTCTCATTTTATGTTTACAACCACCTCGTTGAAGTAGGTGGGGCAGGGATTTTTATCTTCGTTTTACAGATAAGAAAAGCTCAGAGAAATTAGGTGACTTGGGTTGGATCCTATAGCTAGTCAGTCAGTGGAAGAATGGGGACTAGAATCTCAGCTTCATTACTCCTAGTCCAGTGCTCCTTCATTTTCCATGCTGCAGCTTAGTGAATTAGAGGAAAGGTACTCAAGGTTTCCTGTGAGGGAAGTTAGACGTTTAGTTGAACAGGAGACCTTAATGAAGAGTCACACTGGGAGTGGATGAAAGCAAGCTGAAAAGCTGTCAGATGTATTCTGCCCTCTCAGTTGTGAAACTGACATTTGAGCTGTACTTTCATGTCTCTTTAATCCTTCTGTTAAAATGGTATTTATTCTCAATGTTGCTCTTCTGAGTAGATCAAAAAGCAGATCAGGAACAAGATACAAATGAATGCATACCAGGAAGTGAGTAGCAGTATCTTTCTCATAAATGACTAAAAGTTGCCACTCTCTATGGTGCTAAATATCCTGAAATAACTAACCCCATTAATAACACAGCATTTCTTATTGGTACTAAACTCTTGCAGCTCACAAAACTATTTCATTCTGACAAGGGTTTTATTAAAAACATTTTACTACTGTCTGTGTTAAAAGATTAATTTGTGGTTCCACTGAGGGAGAGTTATATATTTAAAAAATTTATATATATGTGTGTTATATATATATTTACATGTTATTGCTGAGTATTATACTTTTGTCCATCTGTCTGCTCTTTGAGTCTTTGCTTAAAATGAAGTTGGCACCTTCTAATATCACTTGGCTTTTATGTTGCAGTATGATTATGAGTATTAGATCTCTTGCGGCCTTTATACAGGACTATAGATATGAAGCAATTTATAATTTATTTAGACCTAAGAAAGAACTGTACTTTGACAGTTAGTATGTAGTATGATTGTATATGCCTCTATTGTATATGTATATCTATAGAAGCAAATTTTATTATGTCCAGGGTTTAAGCTGAGTTTCAAAACTGGACTCAAACAGTATATATTTGATATAGAAAGCAAGTGAACATCTGAATCTTAAGAAATAAATGTATGCTTGTGATAGCTAATGTCCATCAACTAATTAACATCCACCACCAAGCAAAGATAATGATTGTTCACTCTTTTCTGTTTAGTCTTAAGATTGCTGTACTTAACTGTGACTACTGTCTTGAGGACAAATAGCTCACTAAAAAGGTGTTTGTGGGGACTGGCAAAGCATGCAGATACTTGTGTGTGTCTTCTTATCTTCTTACTTGCAGTCAGTTTCATAATCTTGGGCACTGGAAGTAGAAGATAATGATGCACATGCCTGCCTCAGGAGTCCACAGCGTTTTTAATAACAGTGCCCCAAAAGTCTGTGGATGTGCTAATAGGTCTTAAGGAGAAGATCAGCTGAATGAAGGAGCCATTAGATGGAGAAACAAAGTGCTGATGCTCGAAGGCAGTGACATCTAGTCTGAAATCTGAAACTTCCCTCATGAGGTCCTCCTGCTGGAGATAAAGGTGCTGAGCTTTGGCACATGACCTGACAAATTCTTAAGAACCTAGGGAAACAGACAATCCAGGCTTCGCCCTTGGTGTGTGTTCTCTGTCTGGTGGCTGCAGAGGAAACAAGACTTCTGTCCCTTGGGGGTGTTGGGTAAAGAGGCTTTTCCAGTTGCTTTTGGACTGGCAGATACTTAAGTTTGGGCATCTTATTGTATCTTGCTATGTTTTGTTTCACATTTAGCCTGAGAAGTGAAAATAAAACATAGACATAGATGTATATGGCAATATATCTGTCTCTTCAATTGTGACCTCCTAATTAGCTTAGTTATTGGTCAAAGCAAATAGGCTAATCATGTACTGAATTCTAGATAAATTAATTTCTCTCTCTTTTTTATGGTATTTTTCAAGATGACTCTTAATGCCTAGGCTGAGATTATTCCTTTTTTCTAGTGAAGAGTGTATTCTTATCTCAAGACAAAATGAAATATGTGATCAAAACATAAATAACTAAAGCCCAATAAATGTAAAACTGACTGCATTTGAATAACGGATGATGTATTCTTTGGAAATAATAGGGACAAGTGTTATGAGAAAAGGTTTTTGCATACTCATTGGGCATACTCTGCCATTACAGGACCTAATCTTACACTGCGTCAGTATAAGTCACCGGAAAACACACACACACACACACACACACACACACACATTATTATTTAATGGGAAATGATTAAAGCAGGCATTATCTTGTGAGACACCGTAAGTGTATCTTGATACATTTGTGAGCCTAAGACTAGGTGAGAACTACTATGTGAATAAGCAGATATTTAATATATGCAGTTCAATTTTCAGTTTTCCTTCATTAGATTTCTTTTAATTAAAGATGAATTTAGCTAATGCTTAGGGCTGAATTTGAACTTTTTGCGTTATATATAGAAATATAATTTGATTTTTATCTATGTGTTTTCAAGTCAATATATTTGTTTCACATTGAAAAGATAATGTAAAGGTTCTCTGTCAGATAATATTTATTCGTTTAGCAAATATTTATATAGGGCCTACTATGTTCCAGGTACTGTTCTAAGTGCCTTGAAAAATATTAACTCATTCAGTACAGGAGCTCTGATTCACCGTAAGAAAAGCTAAATCATTATGATTCTTAGGCAAAGAAGAAAATACTTCTCTAACTAAAGTTACACAAATTAGGAATGGAATTCATCATCTTATTCTGACTTCCACAAATATACTTACTGTACCGGCAAGAAACCATAGGCTACATTTTCAGACTAAATTCTTAGAATATCCTAACTGGAATCATTCAAACCTGGCCTTGGGATATCTCTACTGAGCATTCTCTGAGTTGAAAGATATATAAATAATTTGTATTTTCAAAAAATGGTTTTGAAATTATAGTCTTTCATAATTCTGAATGAGAAATGCTATCAGAGAAGTAACCTCCATACTCACTAAAGAAGGAGACCTTCTGTTGGGCGCTCAAGAGCCAGGAGACTTTTATGACTGAGTTGTGTACAACAATCCTTGCTGTCCAATGAAATAGTTTTTCAGCCTGCAGCATGTTAAAAATACATCTCAAGGAGATGAACCAATAAATTACAGATCTTGTGGTTCAAAGTTCTGATGGGAAAACATAAGTTAAAATTAATTCACATTGGCAGTATGTTTTAATATAATTTGAATCCAGCTCCAGTTCAGTAAAAACTAATGGTTTTTAAATTGATTTTTATTTTCTATTTGGTTCAACTCCTTGCTAGTTTTCTATATATAATTTTTGAAAACTGCATGTTGCTTACCTTATGATCCTGTGCATGTGAAGTACTGAGCCTTTAACTTTTTTACAAAAACGTCTCTGTTCATAGATGAAAGAAAAGTGTGTTTTCAACATATGCCTTATGTTTGTCTGACAATTGTAAGGATAATTTTGAATGGAAATGCTGCTGTTTAGTTTCCACAGTGCCTTCACAACCCGATAATCAGTTTTCCCACCCCGACAAACTCAAAAGGATGAGCAAGTCTGTTCCAGCATTTCTCCAAGATGAGGCAAGTTTGTCTTTTGTGCTTTTAGAAAAATGGAACCTAATAGGTGGGTTTGCTGTGCCAAGGTTGGTATGTTTGTATTCTGCCGTGGCAGAGACCAAAGAGGTCAGCAGGACTGACCCTTGCTTTTCATATCAATAGAGGTAGTGTTGTTGATCCTGGAACAAGGCAAGGCATGTCTCATTTGACTCAAACAGTAACTCTTTTTGGTAGTGAAGTCAAATTGCATAGATTTGGGAATGTGACTTTTGTATCAAAGTGGGTACAAAATAAGAAATCCAGACAGAAATATGTTGGCATGAGCTGACTACTCCTCTGTAGTTTAGAATAGAGTTGATTTGTGGAAGTTGAGTCTCGGTAGCATGACTAGCTTGAAAACATTTGTTAAAATAATATAGTAACAATGACATAGCAAACTCTAGAGCTATCTACTGAGTGTAGGCACTTTACCTACATTGTCACATTTAATCTTCCAACAACTCTGAGAGGTGGACACCATCATTATCCCCAGATGTTACAGAAAAGCAAACTAAGACTAAGAGAGGTGCAGTACCCTCACTCAGCTAGAAAGGGGTTGAACCAGGACTGGAGCCTAGATCTGGCTCCCGTGCTGTTGACCACTGTACTGACTATCTCAAGCAAGAACATGACTATTATCTGCTATTCACTGAGTATGTAGTAAGTACCAGGAACTTAATTATTCATTCTGATATCTAACTCTCATTAACTAAAGGTGGTATTTTCTACATTGTATAAAAGAGGAAAGAGCCTCAGAGAGGTTAAGTAACTTTTCCCAAATCCATCAGCTACTAAAAAGTAGATCTAGGACTTTAATTCAGGTCCTTCGACTTAAATAAGATTCTGTGTTCTTGCAGTCAGGTGGTTAGGAGCCTGACCTTTAGAGTCAGACATTTCCAGTCCTGGCTTTGCTGCTAATTTGCTGTGTGATTATGGACAAGTTCCTTACCTTCCCTGAGTCTGGTTTCCCAGTACCTACATCATTAGGTTGTGAGGAGTTAGTGAGATAATGCAGGGAGAACATATAGCACAGTGACTGACTCACTGAGTCTCAGTTTTAATGTTAGCTGTTACTGTTTGTGGTTTTAGTCTGATTTTTGATGGTGAAATAAAAAGCTACATCCTCAAGTGTTCTCTTAGTAAATGGAAGGTGATGAAAGCTCTGGACGACACATAAATTACGTCCCTCAACCACCACTTCCTGTGCACCCTTCTGTCCTTTCTTGGGCCTTAGATGAACTGTATCTGCAAATATTTAGCCAATACATATGCTTATTAAGAGCCCACAGTACAGTTCCTTTGGAAAGAATCACTCCTTCTTTGAAACTAACTCATTAGCTGGAAGCCGGTGGTAGGCACCTCATGGAGTTCCTGTGGTTTTAAACCTTTGTAAATATGCTTTGGTCTTGGTTAGTCATATGAATGAACGATGTAATAATTTAAGAGGCAAATGATAGAGGTTTCCTCTTTTTATTTTTTCTCTTCCCTTCAGTTTTAACCTGCTGCCTCATAGCTCCACACAAAAGAGAGTCCAAATCATTTGAGTTTGTGCATCAGAGATGCCAAATTAAGCTGTATCATTTTACCTTACAAAGTACATGGCGTTGCACTTAATATTAAAGGAAGTGGAGATGAAGTCAGGCCTTGCTCCTTTGTCCACTGTCCCTTTGAGACTTAACATCAGTCACATTTGTTGAGTGCCAGCTATGTGAAAATCAGTGTTCCAGGTCAACAGGACAGGGTCTCATCCTTCCAATAAGTCACTAATGATCTGATGTACTAAGTAGAATGTAGTACATGCTGTAATAGAGAGAAATGGACAGTAAGCATGTGGGGAGAGTGTGTGACAACAGAGACATTAAAAAGGTATGGATTTTTTTTTTAATCCTTGAAGGAGGATTCTTTTCTCATCCATATAAATCATAAATTTTGTTTTTCTTTAACTCCTTTCTTAATCTGCATTAGAATTGGCATCTGTTACATTGATACATAATTGCATGGCCCTGGAATATGTTGGCATGAACTAACTCCCCCTCCGTAAAGGTGTTTCCCTAACCCCAGGAGCCACTGAACTGCTCCGTAAACCCTCTAACCCCAAAAGGAGCTCATTCTGAACCATGAATTTTTAAAGCTACCATCTAACAAACTTTAGATCTAAATATAATAAAATATATTATTGGCACTTTTCTTTGTTGACCTAGGTAAATATTTCCTGGAGCATATTTAAAATAAGTATCTTATTGCTATTTTTTTTCAAAAATGTGTTAAAATCTACTCTGGGTAGAATGTATAATTATAGCAACAAAAAGACAAGCACAATAGCACTATAAAAATACATGAGGTGATTTAAAAACTTTTGAATATAGGGGCTAGCCCTGTGGACTAGTGGTTAATTTTGGCAGCCCAGGTTTGTGGGTTCAGATCCCGGGTGCAGACCTACACCACTTGTCAGCCATGCTGTGGTGGCAACCCACATATAAAATAGAGGAAGATTGGCACAGATATTAGCTCAGGGTTAATCTTCCTCAGGGGGAAAAAAATTAAATATATGTAACTTTTAGTTGAAACAGATCAGACTAGCATTAATTTTTCATAGTTTAATTGTATCTCAAGTAAAACATTTTACTTTGAGAAAAGTTAAGACCATGTTAATGAGAGGAATTAAGCATGACATTTTATGTTTTGACAGTAAATCTTAGACCTTTTATTGTCTGGGTACAGTTAGTTTCTCATACATATCAATAAAGTTCTCCAAGCAACATAAATATATAATATTAAGAGAGTGACAAGCTCATAGGTGTGCTGTCTTCTGTAGCACCTTGGGGCCACTTGGTAGGTGAAAAAAAATCACTTCGTTATTTCGGTAGCTAAGCACTCCTCTCCTCCTTAGGTGAGGTCCAAGGCAGACTACCCACCGCATCCTGAATCCCTTCCCTGGCAATTAACACTAGTATCCTTTGACCTTGGGAAATGTCATAGATCAGTGGGATACCATGATATTATCTTTATCTAAACCGAGATCTGATCTTGACTTATTCTGAATTTAAATTTTGTGTATATTATATGATGTTTTGTAGAGTGATGACAGAGAAACAGATACAGCGTCAGAAAGCAGTTACCAGCTCAGCAGACACAAGAAGAGCCCAAGCTCTTTAACCAATCTTAGCAGCTCCTCTGGCATGACGTCCTTGTCTTCTGTATGTAAACAAAGGCTCTGTGTTAATATCTCTCCGCTTCTGCCAACTTTGCTCTTCCATGCTCCTTCTCACTGTAAAACAGCCTCCTGTTGTATTTCTCAGATTCCGAGGGCACGAGCTTTTTCTCTAACCCACAGTTAGTTCTGGCTAGCTAAATCTTCCTTTTTCTTTTTTTTAACCATAAAAGAGTTCATATCCGTTATAAATAAATATGTTTTAGGAATGTAAGTACTTCAAAAATAAACCTAAACTACCACTAAATTTTTATGCTTTTATATACTGTTTACAGGTATGGAATTGTACCTCTCTTTTAGCAAACCTGATGAATAAAAGTACTGATTCACATAAAAGAACAGGAGGGCTGATTCTTTGTCTTGTAGAAAGATTCAGATTAGGGTTTTAAAAGGAGAACTCCCTAACTGTCTAGAGAATTTGACTTTACGTGGAACTTCTTTCATAAAGTGAGGTAGCTGTGTGTGTGTGTAGTATGTGTGTAGAAATATATATATGTAAATATATCCACATACACTTATCCAAATATTTCTCTGCTATACATACACATGCACCTATCTCACCAGGTATGCTAGACAAATGACAAAGCTGAGCGTAAATTCTTACCAGCCCCGAATTTCTCAGACTTGTTTGTTTAAATCTATTTGAATTGCATTTCTGCTGATTGCAATCAAATGTATGGCCTTGGGAAGGCTTTAAACTCCCTTCATCAATCATCCATTTTCTACCCTTCCTGACCTCTAAAAGCGTATGGCTCAGTAAGCATTTTCCTGGATTCAGTGGATGAGTAACGTGGTAAAATTCCTTTTTAGTGCCTTGGAAATTTGATAGAGCAACATGTCACTGTGATTTGTGTGCCTGAGCTTTCTCACATCCTCTTTCTTTAACATTTTAAACACTAAGCATGCCTAAAAATGGAACTCTGAATGCCCTCTACCATAAAATCACCCTGCTTTGAAATGAGCTAGCATCTACATAACTTTGCATTTCACTTTTCATCTGTGTCTCTTAGAGGCAGTTTTTTTAAAACACTGGTCATGTCGTGTATATCACGTCAGGTTGCCTGTGTTGGTATGTCTTTCTGCCATATTAAATTGACTGCTTTTATATGCAAAGTAGAGAAATAATGGCAAGCAAGGATTATATCTGTGATCCTTGTGTTGGGTTCAAGGGCCGGGTAGAGACAAACTCTGCATGTTTCCAATGCTTTCAGGTGAGTGGCAGTGTGATGAGCGTTTATAGTGGAGACTTCGGCAATCTGGAAGTGAAAGGAAATATTCAGTTTGCCATCGACTATGTGGACTCACTGAAGGAGTTGCATGTCTTTGTGGCCCAGTGTAAAGACTTAGCAGCAGCGGATATTAAAAAACAGCGTTCGGACCCGTAAGTACATTTTGGAGTTACTGCTTTCTTTTAGTTACTCTCAGCCTTGTAGAAATTGAGAGGGAAAGTAAGTAATTGAAGGGGGAGGGTATGTGTGTGACTGTGTTAAAAGGAATATATGAAAAGAAAACTTGGGGGAAATTGCTGTTTTATTTACTTTATAAATTCATATGCCAAACTTATTAAATTATAAAAATTCAGAGACGCACAAAATGTTTCAAGTTGGGAGGGACCTTTGAGGTCCTCTTGTCTGGTTCCTTCTTTTTACAGATAAGGAAACAAGGGCCAGAGAAGATAAGGGGGTCTGTTTACATAAATTCAGATGATCAGCAGCAAAATGAGAAATGAGGGCTTGAACCCCAGTCTCTTTCCACTCTCAAACTTTCGCTAAAGTTAGGGACATGTGGGGCATACTGCATAATGTTCAGTGGTGCAGAAATGGTTAAGATTCTAGAATGAGGTGGTTTCCATATTTAAATCATATTCTACAGAAGAACTTTAGAGGGAATTACCAATTCATCTTTGAAATAACAGGGTTAATTGCATTTCAGTTTATTTGCAGAAGTTGAATAGTATTCCCCACTTATCCCTATGCAGAAGTCTGATTCTTAATTATTTTGCAAGCATAAGCCCAATCGTTTTTGCTTTTATTATAAAAACAACTGGGCTCAAAGTCCTTTTTTATCTTTTTTTTTTTTTACATTGACTATGGCTTGATTAGATGTGTGATAAGATTAATTTGCTTTTTCAAAAGACAGTAACAAAAACTTTTCAAAATCCTGCAAACACCAAAGCCTTTTCTTAATAGGAAACAAGGCCATAGAATTAAGCACTACACTAGAGACCTGTTGTGCCCCCATGCCCCATTAGGTAAGGCCAAAGGAAAAAAGGAATTCAGGAACTATCCCTTAAAAGTCTTCACGACAGGGGCTGGCCCACTGGTGCAGCAGTTAAGTTCACATGTTCCGCTTTGGCGGCCCAGGGTTCACAGGTTTGGATCCCGGGTTGCAGACATGGCACCACTTGGCAAGCCATGCTGTGGTAGGCGTCCCACATAGAAAGTGTAGGAAGACAGGCATGGATGTTAGCTCAGGGCCAGTCTTCCTCAGCAAAAAGAGGAGGATTGGCAGCAGATGTTAGCTCAGGGCTACTCTTCCTCAAAAAATCTTCACGACAATATAAAATTATCAATTCCACTGAAATCGCTTTAAACGTTTAAGTATAAAGGTATTGGTGAGAACATGTATTACTTACTGCTTTTCTCAGTGTCATGAAATAATTATTTCAGTCAATTTCCAATGCATTTTTAAAAGTAGAGGTGGAAATATTACTTTTATTTTCTCTGACCTTCTTATCGGTTTAATTCTCTTTTTAGATATGTAAAGACATATCTATTACCAGACAAGGGAAAGATGGGCAAGAAGAAAACACTTGTAGTGAAGAAAACTTTGAATCCTGTGTATAACGAGATCTTGCGGGTATGTATGGACTCCCTAGCTAGGAAAATCCTAAATGATGACCTCTGCATTTAAATAGCCGTGTCTACTTAGGTAGTATGTCTACATAGTATCTCTACAGATGCAGTCAGTCCCCAAAGAGAAGAAGGAAAGGAATAAACATCTTCTGAGAAGTTACTTTGTATGAGACACTATACCATGAATATTATATGCGTTATCTTATTCACTCCCTATATAGCCTGCCAGGCAGGTATTGTTATCTGCATCTCACAGGTGAGACAAGAGAAATAAAGTGACTCAAGGACATACAGCTGATAAAGTTGAGCATTGCAACCAAAATGGTCTTCTAAAAGCGTAATTCTGATCCTGTTATTTCTCTGCGTAAAATCTTGTAGGATTCCCATTACCCTTAAGGTCAAGTCCATCCTTCTTAACATGCACACCAGTCCCTCCACAACCTGAGCTCCAGCCTGGTCTTTCCACTTTCATAGTCTTTGTTCAGGTTACCCTGATTCCTTTTTGTTCTTTGGAGGAACTACATTTTCTCACACAGCTAGGAATTTCTGTTCCTTCAGGCTTGAGTATTCTTTTCCACATTCTATCCCTAATTACCTGCTACAGCCTTAAATCCCTCTTCCTACGAGAGGCTATCCTTAACCCTTAAATTCCCCTCTATCTGCTGCCTCAGTTTCCTTGTTTTGTAATAGGCTATATTAACACTCAGCACTTTAACTACTGGTGTAATTGTCTGCTTTCCCATTAGACTGTAAGTTCCATGAGGGCAGGGACCAACTCTGTTGTTGTGAGCCCTTGGGCAAATGACTTAACATGCACTTCAGATCTGCAAAAGGGAGATAATAATAGTATCTTCCTACCTACCTCAGTAGTAGTGAACATTAAAAGAGTTAATATGTGTGAAGTGATTAGCATACATTAAACACATAGTAAATGTGGACTGTTAGTACAGTGTCTGGGAGAGGTACTCAAAAAATGTTTATTGGAAGGATAGATGGATGGACAGATGAAGGGAAGGTATACCTAGCTCAAATACTCATATTCTTTTTTCCCCCAAAGTGTATCATGCTGCTTAGTCATGAGTAACAGATAATCTAAAACTAAAAATATAAGAAGTGTCATTCATTCCCTGTTTCTGAAAATTCTGTCCAAGAATTTGGTTATCCTCTGAGAAAAGAAGCACAATTAAATTAACCCTCAGTCACCCATGGGTGAATTTTCTGTAGCAAGTTTTTAATTACAGTCTGACTATGATACTCCTCAGTACCCTAGCTATTTCTAGGTCAGCTACTGCAACCCTATACTCAGGAAAAGCCAGCTAATTTAAATGGTAAACTCAGAGAAAGCCAAGTCTGCTATAACCAAAATGAACATTCAAGTAGTACGTCATAAAAGCCAAATAGAGATTATTTTTAGGTTGGAAGTACTATTATCCCTTCCATGATTATATATAATCAAGGATTGACTACATTTTAGGTGAAAAACTGTTAGGATGCCAAGTATTTTCCATTTGACCATAGGAAGCAGGAAAAAACAAGTATATCTTTTCTTGAAAAATACCGTGTCCTTGCAGGCTATCAATAGTAGGAAAGATTGTGTGTATTTGGGAGCAGGTGGTATATGGGAACTCACTGTGCTTTCTGCTCAGTTTTGCTGTGGATCTAAAACTGGTCAAAAAAATAAAGTCTGTTAAAAAGAATACCTTGTTCTCAGGTAGAAAACAGACCTTTGGATTAAACTTCATTTGTATTTTTAGACTGAATTTGATTTATGCAATATCTAGTTAGAACTAAAAACATCCAGTGAAAACTAAATAATTGGCCTTTGTTTTTAGAGAGCTATTACTGGCTATGATATTTGAGTCATAGCTTGCTTTTCCAGAGGGGGAAGGAAAATCAGCTTTTGTGAAAGATGGATTTTAGCTCTTTGAAACAAGACACTTAGAATAAGATGACTTTGCAAAATTCTTGAGACTTGAAACCTAACAGATGAGAAAATCTGATCTACACAGATGACTTTTCATCTCAATGTCATAATTTTGGCATAAAGTAATGTTATTCACCACTTTAATTTCCTTCTTTGAACTGTAGTATAAAGTCGAAAAGCAAATCTTAAAGACACAGAAGCTGAACGTGTCTGTGTGGCATCGGGATACATTTAAGCGCAATAGCTTTCTAGGGGAAGTGGAACTTGATTTGGAAACGTGGGACTGGGAGAACAAACAGAATAAACAGCTGAAGTGGTACCCTCTGAAGCGGAAGGTAAGTTCAGAGTTTTTTGGTTGGTTGGTTTGTTGGCTGGTTTGGGACCTTGGGTATAGGAGAAAGCTACTATGAAATTGCATTTTCATTCAGAATGCATATCTGTAGTTTGGGATCATTCTATCTTTTCACTCTATCCTATATATCTCTTATGCTTTTTTCTGTATTTTCTATTCTTTCTCTTTTTTTTCCCTCTTTGTGCTTCAGGCTGCCTATTTTTTGCTAACCTATTTTTCAGTTCAATAATTTTCTTCTCTGCTATGTATAATCTGCTCTTACACCCATCTGTAGGTTCTCAATTATTATATATTTCAGATTTATATTTATATTTTCATTTGATTCTTCTTCTTCTTTTTTTTTTGGTGAGGAAGATTGGCCCTGAGCTGACATCTGTAGCCAATCTTCCTCTTTTTTGCTTGAGAAAGATTGTCACTGAGCTAACATCTGTACCAGTCTTCCTTTGTGTGTGGGATGCCACCACAGCATGGCTTGGTGAGTGGTGCATATGTCCGTGCTCAGGATCCAAACCCACAAACCCCTGGCTGCCAAAGTGGAGAGTGCAACTTAACCACTGTGCCACTGGGCCAGCCCCTCATTTGATTCTTTTTTATAGATTTCACTTCTCTGTCAAAATTCTCCATTTTAACATTTTCTTTAGGAATATATTAATCAAAGTTATTTAAAGTATATGTCTGAAAACTCCAATATCTTAAACATTTGTGAGTCTCTCATCTAATTTTTTATCTTAGTTTGGTCATTTGGTCCTTTGTTCTGGTATGCCTGTTCACTTTTTATTGCATGCTGGACATTGCATATGAAAAATTCTAGGGATAATTTAGAGAGTTTACTTTTGCTTCTGACACACAGAGTAGGGACAAACCACCTTAATCTAGTCTTGAAATGAACTGACTAGAAGCTGGGGTTCACTTTTCATGTGATCTGATCTAGTTTTTCTTTGCCTGTCTTCCTAGGCTGTGGCCCTTCAGGGGTTCCAACTGAAAGCCTTGGGAAGTAGGTCTCTAATTTTAACATGTATCCACTTTAACTGAAGTTCTTTAACTGAGGAACTTTTTAAAATACAGATTTCTGGGCCTTATTCCCAATGTTGCTGATTCTGTAAAATCTGGGCCCAAGAATATGCATTTCTAACAAGTTCCCAAGTATTGCTGATGCTGCTGGCCTGGGGACCACACTTTGAGAAACACAGATCTAGAGCATTCTAGAGGCCGTTCCTCCTTCGCAGGCCATGGACTCCGATTTCTGTCTCCTCAGCCTGTGAGACTGCCAAAGCCCTGCTCAGCTTTTAGTCTCTTCCTGATGGCTGTTTATGCTCTCAGTTTGGCACTACTTAAAAATCGGCTGACGCCTCAAAGTGGAAAGCAGAGAAGAATGTCAACCTCTAACATCATGTCCATTTGAGTCTTCTGTCTTAATAATTCGTTAGCACTTTCAAATAAATTTTTTTAACCCAGTTTTCTTTGTTGTTGTTTGTTCTCAGTGTGAGGTTGGTGTGAACCTAGCTATTCCATTTCCATCGTAGCTGGAAGTGATATGTAATAAATAATTAATATAAGCCATTATTTAGTATATGTACAATAAAACAGTTCCATTAAAGAAATGGTTCCCAAATATTGCATCAAAATCAGGTGAAGCACTTATTTCTAGCCCTGCTCAAGACTTGATGCATCTGAATTCCTCAGAAGGTGTCAGAAGCATCTCATTTTTAACTAATTTCCCTTATGTTTCTGATGGATAGCCATGTTTTGGAAATAAGGCTCTAAAGGACCAGAATTTGAAAGGAAAACCATCTCTCTTATACTTGGAAATAATAGATACACATTTTAAAATTATTGTCCGATCATTGTTATTCTTACAGGCATCTACTCATTTGGTCTAAAATAATCAAGTTAATGCAGCTTTGAAAATGTAATATTTGGCCCCCTTCCCCCCCATTCCCACACTCTTCTTACTTTCTTCAAATAAAGAGAATATAAATAAGTTGTTATATGTGCTGGCTGAATGACTAACAAAATGTATTTGTTTTTATAAAACCCAAAGCATCCAAGAACACCACTTCCATCTCCAAGAAAGCCATTCTGATTTCTCTGCTCTCTTTGAGACTAAAGGCTTTGAAATGTTTTCTGGGTATCCTGCAAAGTTTTCCAAGATACACAGTGTAGCTTTCCCAGATATAAAAGCAACAATCTGGCTCTGATGGGGAAGGAAGTGTTAATCCAGGGCGCTCATGAGTAATCCAGAAATGGGGAAGATATGGTCCTGTAACAGAGTGACAGAGAAAGTGGTTTGTGCTTCACACCTGCTGACGTTTCTTCATTTTTCAGACAGCACCAGTTGCCCTTGAAGCAGAAAACAGGGGTGAGATGAAGTTAGCTCTCCAGTATGTCCCCGAGCCAATTCCTGGTATGTAATGATTTTCTGTCCACATTTATGCCTTTTCTTAACCCTTCTCCTCCCCAAGGATTTCTTTGGGTTCTATGATATTTTCAAAGGGGAAGCCCTAAACAAACTTATTAACTTAGTAATTGTATAGACCAAATGAGTCAATTCACAGTTGTAAACTAGAAAATTCTCATTTTTTTATTGTAGTAAAAACATATAAAACGTCCCATCTTAACCATCTTTACCCATACTGTTAGTAGTGTTTAGTATCTTCACATTGTTGTCAACAGATCTCCAGAACTTTCTTGTCTTCTATATCTGAAACTCTATACCCATCAAACTACACCCCCTTTGTTCCCCTTCCCCCTAGCTCCTGGTAACCACCATTCTACTTTCTGTTTCTATGAGAAAAATTCTCATTTTTTTCAGTCCAGTTTACAGTCCTTGTTTTAACTTTCACCTCACTCTCCCAAAATTTAATATCTGCACAATATGAATGGCCTTTCTTGTATTCAGAATTTGGACCTATTGGTAGTGCTGTGATAAGAATGGAACCTGAATGTTCTTTTTCACAGGTGGGAATTGGAAGAATTCATATGAAGCCCCTAAGAAATTAGAGCTCATTGGTCCTCCACTCTCAAGGTCTCATCAGGAGAGAAAACTTTTTCCTCAAGATTATTAATTGCATCCTTGATGTCAGGGCCTCAGGTCTGCAGTCCAGTTAAGGGGCAAGAGACTGGCAGGAAATGAATGCCAGCCCCCCTCTTATTTCCTAAGCAAGTTCCCCAAGTTATTCTCCTTAAGAATCTGTATGAATTTTATGACTCAAATCAGGGGTTGTAAACTTAAATGCTTTCAGTAACCAGGCAGTGAAGCTAGTGGGATGAAGGAAATAATGGATGGTGAGGGTAGTGATTAAACTAGAGAAAGGCATTCTAATTCAGTTATTAAAAAAGAAAAAGAATTGGAGGGCAAGCAAAACATATCTTTAGGTCAAATGGCTGCCAAACCACCATCTTGTTACTTCTGGATCTTTCTAAAAGGCAGTCTTTTATATATAATTTGTATCTATCATTTATGTCAACATGCATAGAGGTTCTGCCAGTCTCATTTCCCATTTTCCCTACTATCATTTCTTGTTGGTGGGGACCAGGGGGATGGTGTGTTGTGATGGGCTCCAGCTTGTCTGAGTTTTTGCTTATACAAGTTTCTCTTCCCTTGAATGACTTTCTCTTCTCCTCAATCTATCCAAGTTTTAGATGAATTCCCTTCTCCTCCATAAAGCTTTTTCTGACTATATTCACCCTCACTGATCACATCATCTTCTAGAACATTATAGTAATAACTTGACATTTCATTCTATACTACATTTTTGTAGTTTTTATTGAATTACTCTGTCTAACTTCACTGTGAACATTTCCCAAGGATGTAGGTTTCTTGTATTCATTGTATATCCAGTGACATTCCTTGCATAGAGCTGAGCACGAAATAGATACTCATTAAATACTGGTTGGTTAACTGACTGGGTTAACCTATGAGGAAAAATATGGTAATATTCCTCTGTCCGTGTGCACCCAACTTAGACAACAACTTCAGACTAACCCAACTTCTCAGTAATTCCCTGTCCTTAATAGTAGCCGTTATGTATATCTACACAATAGTCCTATAAAATGCGTTAACTACTTTTAACAAGAGTGACTATACCATTAGCCTGTACCTCTTTTGGTTACTTTGTACTCAAATATGTTTAAAATGCCTCCCTATCAGCACCAGTTGATATTGGTATTAACATTTGGAACTCACATGCATTTCGCTGAGATGTTTTGAATATCACCGTAAATGGATCATTCACGTACCTGATATCTGTAATTGACCTTGTTGAACCAAGCAAAACCCAAAAAGAATGACGTAATACTCTATTCTTGGAATCAATATAAATTATTTTCCTAGAGCTATCTGAGCTCAGCCAAACTATGAAAGATATAGTTTAAAAATGTGTAGATTTAAGCAATTAGGATCATACCATCAAGCATTAGCTAGTATCACTGTACCAGACCATTTTTAGATTGGCATCTTTGGATGCATTATTGCCAAGACAGAAATGGCAGTGAAATGTTCTTCTCTCTCTTTTTTCTATTATAGGTAAAAAGCTTCCTACAACTGGAGAAGTGCACATTTGGGTGAAGGAATGCCTTGATCTACCACTGCTAAGGGGCAACCATCTAAATTCTTTTGTTAAATGGTAACAGCATTGATCACTCTGCCTCCCTCAGTTCTACGATAGCCTGCCTTTGCTGGTTGGTTTCAGTTCTCTATATCTTTGATGCTGAAACTCATCATTCATAGTTTGAATGAAATAACTTGAGACAATGGCGACATGAACCAGAGGTATCTGTGACAGGAAACATCCAAGGCTTCATTTAGTTTTAAAATCATATAGATAAGAGGGCATATACACAAATGAAACCAGAGACCACATACTCAGGTATGTAATGTATTCCTAGGAGGTACATCTGCTGGTGAGGACAATATTCAGTACTAAAGAGTTTATGAAATTTCTAATGGTGGGGCGCCACACTCCTTAACGCCTTTGTGGAACACTTGTTTTGTGCCCATTTGCAAAAGACCTTTTGCATCAACCTGCAAATATCTGGAAAATTATTTGCTAAAAAAACATATGTTAATTGTTAGCTCATAAAAGCTTAAGACAATTTGGGTTTTTAAGCAGCAAACTTTTTTCTCTGTTATAAATGCCTGGAATCTAGTAAATAATAACTAAAACAGATATTAGTGTACTGTCTTGGCTCCCTCTAATTTTATTTATATGGCTTCTACTAGAAGACCAGATGTAGCTATTTAAGTTTATATGAAATTATTTATAATTTTCCCTATATACATATTTTTCATAGATGTAAGCTGCTAAGATTTTTCAGCTCAGGTCAGTCTCCCATTTTGAGACTAATCTCAGACCTTCTTGCCTTTACAAGAGGCATGGCAGGTTAAAGGTAATTCGGTTATTACCACAAATTAAATGTAAATGATTGCAAATACATGATTTATTCCCAAAGTCAAATCTATCAATTGGAAAGGTTTCTCTTCTTTTCAGTTCTGTACAAGACTAATTCTTTAGGCTATCACAGATAATCAGGAAGAGACCGTGCTTCCAAATTTTAAAGGAATCCTCAAACAATTGCTACATAGTAAGTACTTAAATGCAGGCGCTGAACTAAGTTGTTTGCTTCATATGCAATTCTAATATTAACCTTGTGAAGTAAGCACCACCATTCCCATTTTATAGATGAGAAAGCAAGTATCTGAGAGGTTAAGTAACTTTCCCTGCACTACACAGCCAATAACTGACAGAGTCAGGATTCAAAGCAAGTCTGGTCCATTTTGATGCACAGTCTTTCCAGCAGGATGCCCCACCACCAGCACTGCTGCCTCTCTATACTCTTTTTTTCCTCCATTTCCTTCCACCAATTCTCAGTAGCTGTTTTGAAATGCACTGAAAACATAAATGTCTATCTTATTAAAATGTCTTCACAGGGCCGGCCCAGTTGCATAGTAGTTAGGTTTGCCTGCTCCACTTTCGTGGCCTGGGGTTTGCAAGTTTGGATCCTGGGCACGGACTTACACACCACTTATTGGGCGGTGCTGTGGCATGCCCCACATGCAAAAAGGAGGAAGATTGGCACAGATGTTGGTTCAGTGACAATCCTCCTCAAACAAAAAGATGAAGATTGGCAACAGATGTTAGCTCAGGGCCAATCTTCCTCACTGAAAAAAGAAAAAAAAATCCCTCACAATAATGTTTCTTTTTGTAGTACCATCCTTCCAGATACCAGTAGGAAAAGTCGCCAGAAGACGAGAGCTGTAGGGAAAACCACCAACCCTGTCTTCAACCACACCATGGTGTATGATGGGTTCAGGCCTGAAGACCTGACAGAAGCCTGTGTAGAGCTTACCGTCTGGGACCATTACAAGTTAACCAACCAGTTTTTGGGAGGCCTTCGGATTGGCTTTGGAACAGGTAACATTTGTTACATTTTTAATTCTCTATGAGCCAAGTGCTTCTGGAGACACTAGAGGTTGGTTGGTTGGTTGCTTTGCTTTTTCCTAATGAAAGCAGATACTCTATTTCCATTAAGTGTAAAGAAATGAAGGAGTGAAAGAATGTCAGGCTGTGTGCCAAGGGCTCTCGATATGAAGATTAACAGGATACAGTGTCTGCATCGCAGAGCTTAAATTATTGTAGGGGACACACAAAAGCCTTCATCACTACTGTTTCCTGAAAAAACATTGATGGCCCTTCAGGGCTAAAAGTGTGCTTTGAATATAACTAACATTTATGGAGCACTAGTCACTGTACTGAGTGCTTCATTTGCATTATTTCGTTTAATCCTCACGGCAATTTTGTGAGTAGCTACTGTTATCCCCAGAGGAACTGATGTTCAAAGAAATTAAGTAACAGAGCTAAGAAGTGGCAGAGCGAAGATTTGAAATTGAGTCTGTTAGACACTAAAGTTGTAACCACACTTCCTTAGAGATCATCTAGTGTTATTTCCAACCCAATGCAAGAATGCTCCCTCCTACTCTCCTGTGGCCCCGACAGGTCAGCTCTTATGTGCACGTGAAGAGAAATAACTGAGAATAATAGGAGTTATCCCAGTTATGGAGTGTCCCATTATTGGACATCTCAGATGGTTAAATAGTTTTTCTTGTATTGAGTCCCAGATCTGCCCTCCTGGTGATGTTAAAACTCTTCCTAGCTGTCTTCCATTGGTGATTATAATTAGGGATGATCCTTCCCACCCCCCCCCCCCCCCCC